ACATATATATATGGCATCACTGTTCCTGTAATATTCCTGAACTTTCATAATGAAACCCAAGAGAGGAAATGTGACCTTGAGCACCACCAAGATGGTATATGTGGTTCCCTATACTCTTACTTAATTCTAAGATGACTTGGGTATTGTTGGTTTATCCTTTTATCAAAGACAACTCAGAGTCTCTTAAAGAGAGATAAACTGGTCTAAAGAAGATGGGGACAGTTGAGATCATTTTGCATGTGGAAAAGGACAGACAAGCCTTGGGTAGAAGTGATGCTTATGGCCCATGTGTACTCCCATCATTTACACTTGAGAGGAATGGATGTGTTTTTCTTTCTTACCACTGTGATTTCTTTGAATCTCTGCAAATAAAAATGAGCTAGAATCATTTATGGTTTACCAACATTAAGCATTTATATCTTATAAACCAGTGACTCTAACATCTCAGTGTGTATACAGTTAGTCAATGGTCGTGTTAAAATACAAATTCTGATTCATATTAAATATGGAAAGGGACCTGAGGATTCTTCATTTCTCATAAGCTTCCAGATGATGGAAATGCTGCTGGACTGTTGGTCCCACTTTGAGTAGCAAGGTTATAAACCACAAAGACGAGAGAAGAGTCCATGAAAGTGTAAAATGAATGCAGAGTTAGTTTGTTCCCATAATATTCTGTTGGTATCCCTCATCCAGCATTTATCACACTATCTGGTATTATTATCTGTGGCACATTTGTCTCTTTTCCCTACTAAAATGAACTCACTGAAAGTCATAATTTTTTCTGTTCAGGGTGCCTCTCTCTCTCTCTCTCTCTCTCTCTCTCTCTCTCTCTCTCTCTCTCTGTGTGTGTGTGTGTGTATGTGTGTGTGTTCCAAATTCCAAACCAAAATACATTGAGAGAAAAGAGAGAGGGATGTGTTAATGCTCAGGCAGGACATCAAAGTCAGCGAGGACTCCCTAGATAAATTTGTAACCATCCTGTCTCTATCCCTAAAAATCTAGCGCATGTTAGGATTTGATAAATATCTGTGAATGAATGATATTTTTGTATAGCTCTTTGATCAGAGAAAATATTTGTAGTCATTCTGTGATTATGAATTGTCTGTTGTAAAAGAAGACTATAAAACTAAGGATAAGCTTACTAGTACCTTACCTTGATAATGAAAATTTTGTTGACACTTGTTTTCCTAAAGAACTAAAGGCACCTATAGAAACATGTATATAGGAGCTATTTGTAAAATCACTTTTCTATCTTGAAAAGAAAATAGGAAGTATGGTACAAAATAGGAAATGGTTCTGGTTAAAAAAGTAAGCATGTTCGAGAAAAAAAAGATGAGTTAGGATTTGCTGGCTATCTGAAAAGACTGCTCACAATCAACAGTGGTTAGAAATTCTGATTGCAAAATAAACTTATTCTTTGTGAAACCAAAAGTCAGATGAGGTTCGGGAGTTACCAGGACCAGATAACATCACCAGGGGAAAGAATCTGTGTTAATTGGTTCATCTACTATTACTGCAGGGGGTAGGCTTTATGCAAAATGCATGCATTAGTAACATCATTTGCAAATATTGGCTTTTCTGATAATTAAAAAATATTTTATTACCCTGATTTATTTAGTAAGAAAAAGATTTTAAGATCATATTTTAATAGTACTGACATATAAAGAAACTCCTTGCTAAGTTGAAGTATCCTCTTAAAATATGAATGACTCTTCCTTTGTCTTAACAAATTTAAATTGTTTCTTGATGCTGAGTTGTTGTTAGATGTGCCTTCATTTTTATATACTTTGAAACATAACTTTGCATCTTTTTCAGGATGTTCTTGAGGAGAGAATTTCTCTGGAAGTTCAACTGGAACAGCTTCGACCATTCTCTCACCTATAAGCCAATTGCCGTTAACTGTGAACATACCCATTTTTAAGCAGTTTTGGGTTCAAGCCAGTTTGGAGACCCAAACATTCAGCTCACTGCTTAATTCAACATTAAATTTTATGATTCTGTTTTGCCCTATATGTTCACCTGTATTTAAGTATCTTTTATTTTTTAATTTCAACAATAAAAGGGTCAGGATGACTTTTCCTGGATGATATATTGTGTTTGTTGGCATAGCCCACCCTTCTTACTCCATAGTATCAGGAATACATAACATTGGTCCAGTATACTTAAGTGGCCAGAACCTCACACTGATTTGATTTACAGAATGGCCTTCCCATTTGTATCTCAAGCAGAGACTGAAATATTTGCAAAAAAAGTAAAAAAAATAAATTGTCAATTTGTCTTTTAGGTTTAATATTTTACATAAAGCATCTATATTTTGTAAAAATCTTGAAAATGAGTTTCCTACTGAATTTTTTATTTTAAAGAACTGTATTGGATGAGGCATTCTTTAACCATAATCAGCATTCTTTAGGAGTCATGTGGTACTTTTAGGCTTCAACTTGGAGGTCAGATTTTATAATTTTCCCAGTGAAAATTGAGCAGTTTCACCAGTAACCTAAAATTGTTGTGTGTGAGATTTTTAACTCAGCAGTCATGTAAACTTATGAAATAGCTATGAAGTCAGGTCTTAATTGTCCCCTGGAAGCAAAGGGAAAGTGTTGAACCACAAACGACATAAGTACTGTCCACATACAAACATCATCATTTTTTGCATGATTTATGCACTTAAGTCTTAGTTAGAAACTTATGCTTATCAGTTGCTACATTTTGTCAGCTATTTTGTCATTCAATCTTTGGTCATAGAGACTGGTTTTTCCCATTAACAGAGCTTCTAAAGTGTGTCCTGTTCAGGTTGAAAAAATGTCTTAGGATTTGTTTCATATTATATGATATATACATTTTGATCATATATGTAAATTTGCATTCACTGCTGACTAACAGCAGATATTCCCTTTAATGGTTTATTCTATGGAATCATAGATGTTAGGGTGCATGGATATATCGTAACAGAATCAAGGTGTGATTTTACACTAAAAAACAGCACAATATTTTAACTTCTCTACATTTTTTAACAAGAATTTAAATTTTTAAGAATTAGAAGCAATTTATATGTTTATTGAAAAAAGAAAATGTTTAAAATAGCCCAGTTCACAATCCTAGATTGTACTAGTAGATTTTTACTATCTTAAAGGAGAATATGAAATAAAAAGGAAACTGACAAGTCAAAGTTTCCAAGATCAATATCAACTTTAAGTAAAAAATATTACTATTACTGCATACATTAGCAGAAGTTTCCAAGTGGCTAACAGGTTATGACTTCAGTTTGTTAAATAATTAGATGAAGGTTTTAAAGATACAAAAGACCACAAAACACATGTTTTGCTGTTTCTCTTCAAACAAAATTGTCTTAAGTTCTTTATATTTGTTTCTTTTTAAAAAATCTTTTTATATTTACTTAAGAGAGAGAGATCACAAGCAACAGGGAGTGGTAGAGGGAGAAGCAGATCCCCCACTAAGCAGGGAGCTCGATGTAGAACTTGGTCCCAGGACCCTAGGATCACGACCTGAGCCTAAAGCAGATGCTTAACCAATGAGCCACCCAGGAGCCCTTTATTTTTGTATCTTAAAGGTATTTTGTGTTGTTTTTTTTTCCCCAACAGCCTTCTAATTTAGCAATGTCTAATTTAACTATTTAAAGCCTCTTACTTGGAGGGTCTAAAAATTTTAATTTTGCAACCAAAAAACACTTCAAAATCATAAGAAACTTTTTAGTACTTTGTAGGAATTTATTTTTAATGCTCTCTGGAGGAATATATTCATATTAAAGACATGTGACAGGTTTTTTGCCAAACTGCCATTTATATTTTTATACACATTTTAAAATCAATAATTATATCATGAAAATTTATAATGATATGATTGGTAAGTCAACAAAATATTTCTCTAGACTGATCATTTAAGAAACACTTTTTTATTCTGACTTTTTCATTAGTTCATAAAACAAAACTTTAAATATGCAATTATCTTTGTTGTGTCAAATTTTACTGCCTATGAAAAATAACCACCAAAAGAAGTGCTTCAAAATTTTGGACTCAAGTTGTTCTTCTGTACATTTCTTTGCATAGTTGAACATAGATGATAAAGTTAAAAGTTAGGAGGGACTTTATGGATCATCCTACTTCACTCTCCCCATCCGTGAGAAATCATTCTGCTTCCTGCTGCATCTTCTGGAACAGGGATCTCTCGGTCTTTGCCAGGGAGAATTTGCACCCATAATATTTTCTTACTTCTCCATACTACTTTTGATTGCGCTTTGAAGTACTGACAACCATAGGAATTTATCATCCTCAACCTCTGTAGCACAAATCCATTCACGTTTTGGACCATGAAGAATAAATGCATTCTTGATATCTGTAAAAATATTTAAGGTCCACTGATTAATCTTGGCAGGTCACAATCAAAAGAAAAGAAAATGTTACAAAATTCAAGAATTGACCAAGTCATCTTTAAGAATTTTTTGAAAACTAAAAAGGTATTCCAACAGATACAAGTCCAGTTTAGAATATAACTTCCTAAAAATACTGAATAATTCAAATATAATCTAAAATAATCTTTGTGATTGTGTAATTCTAATAGCAGTTATTTTTAAAGACTGGTAGATGATGTCATGTTCTTTAACTCCTTGTCTCAGTCCCTCTGGAAGGAGGACAGTAAAGGTCCCTCCCAGAAGGAACCAGTAAAGGTCTGCACTAAGAGTTGGTACAGGTAGAGATGCTGAGAGCTAGGCCTGGACCACCTTGTTGGAATTAAGCCAACTATGTAGCTGGGTGCCAGCTGTCTTGCGGGTTACATAGTGATGTTTTGACACAGACCACAGCTGACTAAAGGGAGATTGAAAGCAGATGTCCTACCCTCTTTAACCATTCCTGGTGATTATAGATAACTAACTCATATCAGTTGAGTTTGTTTTCTAGGTGGAAATATTTATTTTCCCCTTTGGTGTTCATTTTTTCTCAGGCTCAGATTTAAAATGAGGCTAAAACTAAAGGGAAGGAATCCTTTTTTAAAGGGTGAGTTCCTTCTATAAGACCTTTATTCCAGCTTTAACCTTAAGTCCTGCCTTGACATGCGGTGAAGAGTATTGGAATGAGAGCTGTTCCATTCAGATTGCCTAACAGAAACTGAGAAAAGAGAAGGATCCTTTTAAGCTTGGCAAGTAAAGTGTAGGTAATAACTAAAAATAGACATAGTATTTTTAAGTAGGATTTCTTTTCGTAACAGATGATAGTTCTACTGAGGTTATTAATGAATGAAATGTTTGTTACTAAACATCCTTTGCAAATCTGTCAGTTACAGAAGAACTATCAACTTGAATATGAACTTATGGAAGCAAAGGTACACTTCACTGTAATAATCTGTAATAATCACTGTAATAATCACTTCATCTGAGTGGAATGGAAACAGCATATAAAAATCTAAACTAGTAAAATCTATAGGCAGTATTGAGTCCTAGTAAAATGGAAAAGTGATAGGTAAAAGTATAAAATTGTAACATTTACAAGCTGTGGTGAGTAGTGGCTCTCTTGTCAGATTGCTTCAAAGAGCTCAGGATGATGTGGGTTCGTGCTTCTCTTTGTGATTTTTGAAAGTTGTTTTCCTAATATGTAGGGTACCTGTCTGACAATGCCAGCATTCCTTTCTTTTGCTATTTCCGACAGATGCAAGTTTACATTAATGAAATCCTAAAATTATTTGGAGAACTGTTTGCAAACTTTCAAATGAACATTCCAGTACTTTTCCTACTTTATATTTTAATAGTTAATGAGCATTATGTAATACGGGTTTCTAAAGGTCTTTAACTCTTGGAAGAAAAAGAATACATACATTTAGAATCTGGAATGTCCTCTACAAGTAACCTATGAAGGGCCACTGATGCAATGAACTGGTAGGTTGATTTTGAAGTCCGCTCAAACGGAGTATGAGCTGTGCCCCGACTAGAAACAAGCAGTGCATCATTGAAGAGGAAAAGACTGAGGTCACGGGTGTGTTCATAGGACCTGTGTTAAAGTGGAGAAGGGTTACATAGTAGGCATACACACATGCTTTGTTACACAATTCACCATTTTGGCGTTGATAAGCCAATAGTTGGTGGTTTTGCCCGCTGCAGACAGGTTGAAATGGCTCATTGGAGTTCTTAGTAGTTTTTCTCCTGGTGTAAATAGTCTCTTCTGTCTCTCAGACCACTCCTATGGGGGGGCCTCAAGGCTTCTGGTGGAATGCTTTGAACTTACCTAACACTGGATAAGCATTCAGTGTGGGAATGTGGAGGAAAGAGACATTGAACTTCTCCTCCTTTACAACATGAATCATGCTAGAGCTGTGTTAAACTTCTGTCAAGTTTGGTATTTTGTGTCTGATGTATTTGGGCAATCTGGGGAAAGTTTCTGTTTGTTTTGGTTTCGTCTTCAGTGTAACAGGTTGGGGTAGAGAAAAGCACAAGAACCACTATGACATAAGGTGTCTTAAGTACACAGCCAGGAAAAGAAAAGCATTTAACTACTAGCTAGGAAATTAAAATTTTCCTAATTATGGTTGGAGGGAAATCAATAGATAACATACTTCATCAGTATGAAAGGTGAGAATTAAGTTAACTCTTCATTTTCACGGAGGTTGCTATGATGGTCAGCTGTAGGCATGTTTACCAGCAGGCAAAATGTGCCCTCAGCCTCCGTCTGTGACCCTCATTACACTGTTGTGTTATTGGAGCCAGGTCTTGTGCTTGGCAGGCACCAGTGTACTCTCCTTTGGGTTTGCTTCTGTGAGTACTCACCAGGGAGTCAAGCAGTGTGTTGGGGAGGAGCGGAGTGGGGGAGCGCCCACTTCCCAGTATCTCTAGCCTCTCTCCCCCCACGTTGGGAGGATAACCAAAACCTTTTTTCTCTTAGAAGCATCAAGCAACCCTCACTTGCTCGAAGGAAGGGAGTCCATATACTGGCTTGATGTTCAGAGGAAGTCTCATTTTTAATCTTCACTATTTTCTTTTAATTGCCATTTGAAGTCTACATAAACTTTTACATAAATGCTAAAGTGGCATCAATTCATACCATTGGCTTTTTTAAGTGTCCTTTTTTGTTTCACTTTTCTCTTTTGGCTTGGGTCCCTTCTCCCTTCACTCAGGTCACCCAAATTACCCAACTCCTACCTGTCTTTGTTTTCTTACTTGCTCAGGTAATCACACACATATGTACATATATACACATCTATTTACAGGTAGGTTGCCATTATTTTACAAAAATGGTAATATCCACACTCTTTTTCTGTTTTTCTCATTTGGCAATGGAAATGACTTCAAGTTAACTGGTATGGCTTGCTTTATTTATTTATTTATTTTAAGATTTATTTATTTGAAAGAGAGAATGTAAGTGGAGAGAGGGGTAGAGAGAATCTCCCTCAGGCCCTACACTGAGTGGGGAGTTCAATGCAGGGCTTGATCCCAGGACCCTGAGATCATGACCTGAGCTGAAATCAAACTCAGATGCTTAACCAACTAAGCCACCCAGGTGCCCCTTTAATTTATTGTTTTTAATGGCCAAATAATACTTTATGGTGTGTGTAGACCATCATTGATTCAACTCTTCTCCTTTTGATATCCACTGGTGTGTAAAGGCTTGGGTCTCTTTCCTACCTTCTTTTCTCCTTCCTTTCACTTGTTTATGGCCAGTATGTGCAATGTTCGAATAAACTGATCTTTATTTACAATCAAATCCCTTACATGTGTTGTTATTTCTATCAAATAGGCTTGGGGGGCTGCTGTGGTGGGCAGGTAGGATTGATTGGTCAAAGGTTTTATGTATTTTTATCAAAAACTTCCGGATTGCTGTCCTTAAAAGCTACTATAATTGCCACTTAGAATCCATTTTATATAATAATGGCTCTGACTTGTACATAATACAAACTTTAATGTCCCTCTAAATTACCTGGAGATTTTTGTTAAAATGCAATTTGAAGGTAGTAGAACTAGAGTAGTGTCAGTTTCTGCATCTCTGACAGCTGCCTGACGATGCTGATGTGCAGACCACATTTTGAGGAGTGAGGCAGTTAAATCATGTATTAGTTACAACCATGTCATGCTAGGTGAAGGACTGGATCCAGGACTGAAACATTTTTTTTTAAAGATTGTATTTATTTATTTGACAGACACAGTGAGAGAGGGAACACTAGCAGAGGGAGTGGAGGGAGAAGCAGGCTTCCTGCCGAGCAGAGAGTCCGATGCTCAATTCCAGGAAGGACCCTGGAATCGTGACCTGGGCGGAAGGAAGACGCTTAATGACTGAGACACCCAGGCGCCCCCAGGACTTAAAAATTTTTGAGGAATACTGTATTTCAGGTTCAGCTATTCAAAGAGTGTTAGTGAGGTCCTGGCTCTGTTAGGTGTATGGATAAACAGAAATGCCCAACCGCTGGAGCCAGCTTTTCCTTTTTCATGCATTTCCTTCCCATTTCTGTGTGGCTGTGAGTTAGGCTGGAAGGAGTGCATACTTCACATACACTGATACCTTGCAAGAAGCAATATTCTAGATCAAGTTGGTAGGATAGTCTGGCAATAATGGTGCCTATAGAACTAGGGATGAGGGAGAGAGGAGGCAAGAAAGGGAAGAGATACTTCAATCTGTGTGTAATGGTCTGTATGTGGTGAATGGCCACTCTAGGTAAAAGAACCCCACCCGTATACTTGCCCTCTTTTTGTTTAGCAATTTTACCTTCCTACTGATATGAACAATTATTTCTCCTATCATACCAGTTTAGAGAAATGTTCAAAGCTATAAAAAAAATGCGCTATTAAACTGAATTATCAGAGAATGTAATACAAGTTTGCTTTAAAGAAGTGCCTTTGAAAGGTAAAGAATCATTTTTTCACTCGGAAGTGGTAACCCCGAGGGTGGAAATAAATGAAAGAATTCCAGTTTTGTGACCCACGTGGATCGAGCAGGTGGTTGGACCCAGGGAAAAGCAGGAGCAGGCACATTATTAACTCGGAGTTGAGACCACTTGTCATCAGAGGACATAAACAGGGAAATAGGCTTGAAAACACACAGGTTTTGATTATTTCAATCTGATTATGAGAATGCTATTTAAAATAAATCTGAGTTCCATCTAGAAAAAAGATTTTCAAAAGCCATTTACTAAGTTAAGCCCTTCCACAGGCTCCTGGGTGGCTCAATCAATTAAGCATCCGACTCTTGATTTTGGCTCAGGTCATGATTTCAGGGTCGTGGTATCCAGCCCCACGTCAGGCTCAGTGTGGAGTCTGTCTGTCCCTCTTCCTCTGCTCCTCCCACCACTCATGCTCTCTCCCTAAAATGAGTGGATACCATTCTTGTAAATAAATAAAGCCCTTCAAGATCTCCAACAATTTTCATCCAAAAACGAGACACACTAAAAAACATAGTAACTCCTCTACATATAAAAGTAAATAATTTCATCTCTCATATTGACATAATAGAGCAAAGGAAGTGGAAACTATGGATCCTAATAACGTTTCAGAAAGCCACTTCTCATATTCAAAAGAACCAACTCCAAGGGTAGAGTTTTTTCTCCATGAACTTGGATAGGATTTCTTTCCTTGTTCAGAAATAGGTCAAATGACTCAGCAAAATGTAACAGGTCTGTTATAAATTCCTAACATCATTCTAGAAATGTTTTATTGTTGTTTATTGTATTAGAAGGCCAAAATGCTGAAGTACCCAATTTCTATAAATACATAAAACCTTGAAAGGAATTTTACAACCTTGGCATGAGCAGACAACAGCGAGCCATAGGTTGTCTGAGCTGACCTGGGTCAAAACTGCAGCTTCTACACATCCACACTCTGACTTGAGGATTACAGTGGCTTTCTGAGTTTCCAGGCTAAGAGCCAATTCAGAGCCAGAGTTCAATATCTCTGGAAAGTCCCCTGTACATAGCTGCCCCGGTAACTGACTGTAGACCCCTTGGGTAAGGCTAAAAAGAAAGTTTACAATATGCATTTTTGGCAGTGTAATAGGGTTTTTCCTCAAGAGGACTTGGTCTGAGAAGTGGATGTCTCCCTTTAGTGATTCAAAGCCATGCCACTGCTCACCAGTCCTCCAGGGCTCCGCCTTTTGTCACCTCGGCATCAAGGGAGGGAAAGGGAAACAACAACAAAAGTCTACTTAAAAACCAGCAGGCTGAAAGCCACATAAGTGAAAATTGGTGTTTTCTGGAAAAACGATACAATGAAAGTTCCAAATTACATAATATATTATAAAAGCTTAAGCTATCCCCAAATTCTGTGGGCTATATTGACAGAGGGACAAATAACTCCAAATTTCTTAACTCTTAAAAATGACACTGTGACTTCATCTCTACCCAGAGGAATTTTTTTCTTTTTATGGTGCAAGTATTTACTGATTTTGTTCTGTGTCATGGCTCTTGTTTATCAGTAATTTGTTTAGTACTCACTGCTTAGTTGGTAAGTTTATTATGAGGAAGGCTCAGTTCATCTTTCTAACCCGCTGGTCTCGTCAGTAGAGCACTGAGACTTGGTTCTGAATTTTGGACCAGCACTTATTCTGTAGCCTCAGAGAACTTACTTAAATCCAGATGCCCACCCATAACATGGTTGCAGACCTACTTGCCTCAGGAAGTGATTGTAATGAGTGTATCAAATGAGAGAATGTAAAGAATATGGTGGGGCCTGGCTGGCTCAGTTGGAAGAGCATGTGACTCTTGATCTCGGGGGCTGTGAGTTTGAGCCACACATTGGGTGTAGAGATTACTACAATAAATAAGTAAAAAGCATTAATAGAAAATATGGTAAATGATAAAGCCTTATACTCATGTAAGTCAATATTTTATATATGAATATAAACAGAGTTTCCTCTGAGTAGAAATCTCTAATGGAAGTCACGGGAATGGGATTTCCTGAGTTTTATGTGACTTTCCAAAATGATAGAAAACAAAGTTACAGACTAAGTATTCTGTAATATGTTTTGGAATATGAACCTATCTTGCATTTACTGAATTTTAAAAGTTAATGTAAAGTTACATTTAAATTTATTGCTTGACAAATCACTGAGATGGTGCCTATTTTAACATACATATACCTCATAATTAGATTGTAAAATAATTTAGTATTCTCCCATGATCCTCAAATTCTTAAATGTATTCTCTTTGCCCAAATGCTAAATTCTAATAACTGAGCCCTTTGGTTTCTGGTTGGACAAGTAAAGAGCTTGCAAGTCCTAACTTCCATCCTCACAACAAAAAAGAAGCTGAAAAACTCAGCATCAACAGCTCTTCTTTGCACCGTCAGAGAATCAAAGCCACAAGGTAAACTAGCACCCCAAAAGCTGGAGAGACACACTGATACAGAGAAACACAGCTTACTGGAGGCAGAACCTCCCCGCTGGAGCAGTGAACTAGAGATTAAGAACTCCTGGAAGCCTAGCCTGAGGAGAACATTCTCTCCCCACTAGCATGAATTAAAACTGGCGTATGTTTTACTTCCAGGAGCCCCACCAGGTTCTCACTGTGAAGATCAAAGAAAAATGTTTTCATCCATCCTGATAGGGAGAGGAAAGGTAGCCTTTTTGAAATGTGCCTGCAGAGTTCTCTTCTCCTTACCAAAAGACTTCCCTCAGGGGAAACTATTTTACCAGAATCTAACCAATATGGGGGAAGGGAAACACCTACTTCCAGCCCCTTCTAGCCTTCCTGTCTCTTAGAGACAGTACACAAAATGGAAGGAAACAAAACAAGAAACAGAAAGGAATGAAAAACATTTGTGAAAGTCCTAGCCTGGGGCACAAGCTCACTAAAAAACTAAGACCTAACCATGAAACTATAGAACTCTTCCCTTCTCCTCCTTTCCCATTTGATACCACATCAACAGAATTCCTTATAATGACAAGGGATTATAGCTAAAAAGAACTAGAAGGCTCGGACCCCTATTTAAGTGGTCTCTAGGGAAACTCAATGAGGGAGACAAAAACAAGAACACCAAAATAAATTGTAGCCTATGACACCACAGCTACAACAATAGTAAACACAGGCTAACATCTAGTCATATAAACATAAAACCTCACACTGAAGACCTATTTGCCTCAGTTCCTTTCACTTAATACATTATGTCTAGCTTTCAACAAAAAATTACAAGTCATACTAAGAGGAAGAAGAACAGTTTGATAAGGCAAGCATCAGAACTAGACTTACATGGCAGGGATGTTGTTGGAATTATTAGACCAGGAATTTGAAATATTTATAATAAATAAGTCAAGCGCGCTAATGAAAAAGTGGACAACATGCAACAAAAGAACTGAGGAGTAAAATAAAGAAATGGAAACTCTAAGAAATAATTAAAAAGAAATTGTAGAAATTAAAAACACTGAAATGGGGGCGCCTGGGTGGCTCAGTGGGTTAAAGTCTCTGCCTTCGGCTCAGGTCATGGTCCCAGGGTCCTGGGATGGAGCCCCGAGTCGGGCTCTCTGCTCAGCGGAGAGCCTGCTTCCTCCTCTCTCTCTGCCTGCCTCTCTGCCTACTTGGGGTCTCTCTCTGTCAAATAAATAAATAAAATCTTTAAAAAAAAAAAACACTGAAATGGAAATGAATAATGCCTTTGATGGTCTTGTTAGCAGCCTGGACATAGCTGAGGAAAGAATCAATGAGCCTGAAGATACATCAATAGAAATTTACCAAGTGAAAAGCAAAGAGGAAAAAAAGATTGAAAAAGAAAGGAACAGATTAACCAAGAAATCTGGGACAACTACAAAAAGTGTACATAGGTCTAATGGGAATATCACATGGAGAACAAAGAGAAAGGAACAGAAGAAATACTTGAAGTGATAATGGCTGAGAATTTTCTAAAATTATTGACAGTTACCAAATCACAGATCCAGAAAGTTTAGAGAATACCAAGCAGGGTGAATACCAAAAAAATACCACGTAGGCATATTACATTCAAACTCCAGAAAATCAAAGACAAAGATAAAATCTTGAAAGAACCCAAAGAACAAAAACAAAACTAAACCAAAACAAAACAAACAAAAGAAAAAACCCACTTTACCAAAGAAGAACAAGAATTGCATTGGCTGTCTCCTCAGAAACTGGCAAACAAGAAGAGAGTAAAGTAGAATAAGTGTTGAAAGAAAAGAACCCAGCAACGCAGAATTCTGTAGCCAGCAAAACTATTCTTCAAAAGGGAAAGAGAAATACAGATTCTCAAACAAAAATCGAAATTCATTGCCAGTAGGTCTGCCTAGCAAGAAATGTTAAAAGAAGTTCTTTAGAGGGCACCTGGGTGGCTCAGTTGGTTAAGCAGCTGCCTTCAGCTCAGGTCATGATCCCGGCATCCTGGGATCGAGTCCCACATCGGGCTCCTTGCTCAGCGGGAAGCCTGCTTCTCCCTCTGCCTCTGCCTGCCTCTCTGTCTGTCTGTGCTCACTCTCTCTGACAAAAAAAAAAAAAAAAAAAAAGTTCTTTAGAGAAAAGGTAAATTATGTAGTTTGGAAACTCAGACTTACATAAAAGGAGAGTGTTACCTTCATGTATACATGAAGGTAAAATAAATTCTAAAAAAAAAAAAAAAAAAAAAAAAAACAGGGATAATCCTAGCATGTCTCCTACTACACCAGTGTGTTTAGAATTGTTGGTTTGATAGCTAGTTTCCTTCCATCACTGCATCTCGTTTCTATTGCTACTGAACAAAAACAACAAAACAAATAAAACAAAAATACTGATCATGAGAAAAGTGACACAATTGCATGACTTTTCATTTAGAACTACTCTAGGCAAGAATAGAGGTGAAAGCATTGGGTTTCTTCCAACCACTCCCTGACCTACACCTATGGGAAATATTCATTGAAATAACAGGCAAATCAATTTTTATTTCTTTTATTGGAGTTGGACAAATTAAAGGAGTTGATTTCTCTCCACTTGGTTAGTTGTTGAATTGTCATCTTTGCCATTAATACTGAGAATATAGTTTTGCAAACAATTTTCTAACATAGGTATCAGCAAATTATGGCCCCACCATTTGTTTTGTGAATAAAGTTTTATTGTAACACAGCCAACACTTGTTCATTTATGTGCTGTATTATTTATGTTATATCATTATTTTGCTGTTTTTATGTTATAATCGTGAAGCAGTAAAATCATCTGGGCAACAAGACCTAGGATATTTATGATCTGACCCTTTACAGAAAAAGTTTGCTCATCCTTGTTCTAAAAGAGGAAAGGGGATGCTAGCTTATGGAAATTGTCACCTGCCTTTTGTTCTTACACTGCTGTAAGCACTGTGCAAAACTGAAGTGGTGAGACCTCAATATAATGATGGTCTCTTGGTGAGACCTTTGTAATACTAACCTCAATAACTATCAGGATAATTAACTGGTCTTCTCTTTCTTATAGGTGAGCAAATCACTAGTGTGTGACACTCACAACACTTGGCTCTCCTTTCAGTAGGAAAGTGACCAACCTCAGAATTCCTGCTTCTATGCAGTTTGTGGTTCTGGCAGAGATTATATGTTTTCTCCCAATCCATCCACTAACTGCCTGGAATGTGAATAGGGTAATAAAGCTGCAGGGGAATGTATGTTTAAGTTTTCAGTCCAGTGCAAAGATCTGTTGCAGACTTAGGTCAGCCGTTGTACTGGATCCCAGGTACAAGATAAGCAAGACTAGTCACAGCCATAGGACAGTTCAATGCTTACCTTAAAGAGAAACTTACTGCCTCATCACAGCAGTGAAGTTGGGCTACATCTTGGACCCTAATCAGATATCTGCTTTCTTCTGACAGAGTCTATGAAATAAAAAACAAAATCAGAAACATTCATAAATTTGGAGAAAATAAAAAGTATCCCACTGAAGAACTGTTTTATATCCCAGAAGCTGTGTTGAGTAGAACTCAGTTTAATTATGAAAAAGTGGATGTTTTTATTATTGACAAAAGAGGTTTTTGGTTTTTTTTTAGAAAGACCACAGACTTCACAATTAAAACTATATTTGAGGGTGTTGTCTAATTTTTAAAACTACTGAAATTACTGTTTTATATATAAATGCTCGAAAAGTCTTCCTAGTATTAAAAAAAAAAAAAAAGAGGGGGTGGGAGCAGGTAAGATGGGGTCTTTGAAGAAAAGGAAGTGAATGGATTGTTAAAAATTCAGAAGTTAGACCCTTGTACTGATCTAGCCGTGAGATGATCACTTGATGTAAACAGTGATCTAGAGATAAATTCCAACTCTGTGAGTTCCAAGATTTTGGACTTTTTGTAATCCAAACTCCACTCTCCATACCAAAATGTGCAGATCTGAATTCTAATAAAACAGCTCCATCTTGTTTCCCCAATTTGATCAAATAAAAATGTTTCAAATTGGTACTTTAGTTCAACATAATTCATATATTGAGCTCCTACTATATGCCAAACATTAGATGACAAGTAAATTGTAGCTCATGCCTGATGACGTTAACAGGATTGTAATAAAGTGTGACAGAGATGTTCAGGGTGCTGCAGAATACCCAAGACGGGGCTTGGGGAGAGGGGCTTACAGCTGGAGATGTTGGGGAAACTTTACAAAGAAGATGATGATAGAACTGGATTTTTAAAGGATGAATAGTTTACCCAGTGGAGTGGGAAAGGCAATTTCAAGAAGGAAAAGCACGGGCAAAGCACAAATGTGTGGAGAAAGGCTAACATTATTGGAGAACTAAGTAGATTTGCGTCATTTGATCATGAAGTGGAAGGCAAGGCAGTAAGAGAGAAGGTAGACTGGGACCAGATGATATTCTACAGGGAACAACTAACACCTAAAAATTTTTTCAGATATCCTCAGGGCACAGAATCCTACACCAGGCACTATGTATAGGAAGATATAAAACAAGAGAATACATGGTCCCTTTCCCAAAAGGAGGTCATGTTCACAGAAGTACCAGTTAAGGAGCTAAGACTGCAGAAAAGTTATGGGATGGGATCAAGTCCACTTGTGTGTCTTCTCGTATGCATCTTTATAGCTAGCAAGGATGTGAACTGTGAAAGCTTGCCAGCACACAGCACGCAGCAGGCATTCAACAGATGGTAGCTGAGTCGAAATCGACAAGCCTCCTTTTGCCAGTAACTTGAGGATATATTCATGAGCATGAGATGCAGTGAGTACGTCAGAATACGTACCGGGCATCCCCAGACGATTCTCTGTATTTCTGACAGCTGATCTTTCATACCGATGTTTTGCTTCACCTAGTAAACAAAGGGATTTTAGGCAAACTGAAATTATGAAATTTTTATATGTAAAAATAGATTTAAATATTTTATGGCTCTTGTACACGGCTCAGGATTTTCATACACTTTAATAAGAATCTCAATTTTGTGTCCCCAGTGTTTGAAGACAAAGAGGCAAGTGACAAGACTGTGTTCACAGTCTTCAGGGCAAAAGAGGTTATCGGTCTACATTCAGCCCAGATGCCCGTGTAATATGCACATCACAACAATATTTTCAGAATGATAGTACTATCTTCCAAGATGCTGAATTCTTTCAGAGAATAATTATGATTGCGATCTTTACTGACGCAGGAAAGTTCATTAATAAGAAGTACCCTCAAAAACAAAGGATTTTACTTTTTTTTCTTTTCGTTGTTTAGAAAAATCAATCCAAATATTCAATTCTTCACACTTTCATATTAATAAAAGTTTTATTGCACTCATCCACGTATCTGAAAACATTCTGTCTCATGTTGTTTGGCTTTGAATAGACCCTCTTAGTGCTCAAAATCACTGAACCCAATCATTTCACGTTAAGAGGAGGAAAGACTTTGAAGTATGCCACGAAAGGATAAGGTATTTCATGATCTTTGAGTCAGTACGACAAAGTATTGTGACATTTGTAAAGGACACGAACGCTCATCAGCCCCCAACCTCATCTATGTAACTTTTGTATTTTTTGAGTTGGTCAATTGCAGTGGTCAGGCTCCCACGGTCAGCGTGTCCTGCGGGAGTGTGAAGCCTCAGAGCATAGAGAAGATTCATATATTCTTCAAATCTTCGCGATGGGTACAAAAGCAGCTCCGGGAGGCTGTATGAGGCAGAGGAAAGGGAACCCTGGTCGCTCTCTGAAGGCCAAAGTGTGCCATGTCCTTGGGGCGCCCCCACTGTGCCCTCCCTCAGAACTTACCTCAGCATTTTGGTAACAGTGGTCTTATCATGTCTCTTCAGGAAAGCTCGGAATGCTGGTGTCATTTCTCTGGACTAAAGGTGAGCATTATGTCAAAATTTTGCTCTGTATTACAGTTCCTCCAGAACAGAACTTCTGTTCCGCCCGACAAGCATGATCTATGAAGCACTCAAAGCAAAAGGGCAACAACTACCTCAAACCAAAGTACGACTAGTCCTATCGAGGCTTACTAATATACTAAGCACAGTGTGTTAATTATATCGTAAATTAACCCTATTCCGTAAACTTAATCAGTATAGACAAAATGGACTTTGCAACCAGCTAGGCCTGGATTAACATCACAATTCTAATTGAATTCTATCTAATTCTATGAGGCCCTGTCAAGTTATTTAACTTCTCCAAGCCTGAGCTTTCGCATGGATTACCCTACCTAACTCTTGTGGGTGAGGGGAACAATCCTATCCATAAGGATCCTGCCCGTCAGGCAGTAAATGCTATCTCCACAGTAAGTTATTAATAGTATTCACTGTAATACTGCAGTTAACTATGTTTTCCATAGTAACATCATAAAGGGGCTCCACTCTGCTAAATATCTGTTTTAAAGTGTATCCTTTCATCACCGTTAGAGCACTCAGGAAGTGACCTCATTTGTCTTAGTACATAAGTGCCTCAGAGATGCCAGGAATGCATCAAATAGTCACGGGGTGTAATATTAACAGCTCACGTTTACTATTTATCTGCACACCCCATGCTAATGAAATAGATATCACTATTATCCCTAACTATAACAATTTTAGTATCAATTTATAATATTATGTGACACTTTGCTTCCATTCTTGTCCTAAAGTTTGGTTCTCTGCAATGGCCTTATTCACTCAACTTTCACATAATCATTGTCCAGCAGTATTTAAACTCCCTTTGTGGGATAAGAATGATACTACAAAGGGAGACATCTGAGGTCAGGACTTGTCCAGAGGCCTCCAGGAATCCAGGCCTGCCCCTGAGGGCCTCAGTCCGGACAGGCGGACACAGTCCAAGTGAATATAGTGGACGCTAGAGGAAGTGCAAGGGACACTCTTCTGCTCCACTTTTGACGCACATTGAAGAGGGAAGAAAGAGAGAGAGCTCACTGCCTTCAGAGGAGAGCCCAGCAAAAGCAGTGAGTGGCACAGGGGGGAGCTGAAGATTCCTGCCCAGACTACATATGGCTTAAGTCATGAAGGGAAAAATTGTTTATCATGAACTCTCCAAGCAATGGAAGACAAAGAAATCCTTATTTCATAGTGAGATTTCACAAACGGAGTGTCCTTATTCTAAGAAGCATATGGATTATTAATTCCTTTTCTCCATAAGAACCTTGAACTCGTCAAAGCCGCAGAGCACTGTGTTGGCGGAGTAGAATCAAGGCTCTTGCTCCTGCTTCGACCCATTGTGAAACATTTCTCTGTAACTAAACCACAGAGTATTGGGGCAGGTAGATGAAAGCCTGACAGTTTGTATGATTAGTTCAGTACAACAACAAGTTCCTGGGTCCCACCATATCAAGTGTGTTAACCCTCAACTGTGTTAACCCATAGTGATACAAAACTAAGTAAGTCAGGGGCCCCGTCCTCAAAGAGCTCACGGTCACCTGGAAGCTAAGGGTGGGGAAGAAGTCTTTCCTGTTTATCCTAGTCCTTTGGATTGCACACAAAAGTTCCTTTCAAGCTCAGAAAGTCTCATTCATGCCTGGATGGTAACTCAATCATTACCTTCTCTATAGTTCTCAGAACAACCGGGTAATTGTTGAAGAAATTGGTATATGTGTTCAGCTGGCTTCCAAACTTGAGGAATATTTCTCCCACGCAGTGGGCTGGGCCCCATTCCTGCAGTCTGTCTCTCAGATTGTCTAGAAACTGCCTGCCATACGAGAAAAGCATGCCGTGAAATACTGGCCTGGGATAACCTAGAAGCTTAAAAAATAAAAATAAATTAGTTGTTATTTGTGCAGCCTGGCCAGGCTTTTGTCCAATCTGTCTGCCTGACACAGAGCCGGGCAGATGTGCCCGGAAGGGAGGAGGGGTGGGGGGCAGGGGTGTGAGGGAGGAGGTTGACTCTGGTAGAGTCTTGCCTCTTCCTCTTAATTCCCTGAGTCGGAGCCCCAGGCTGGCCTCCACAGGCCTGACCCTTGACTGTCCCACTCCCATGTGGCCAGCCAGGCAGACGGGGAAGGTTTCTTACAGTCCTCAGAGGAGAGGGCTCAACTCACTTCAAATGCTGTAACTCCTGATCGGCCCACTGCTGTGGACCTGGTGTCACCCACCATTCAGCTGTCACAGGCCTTGAAACAGGGATGAGGCCTAGTCCGCCCTCTTCCTTCTGCAGCAGCTGGGGCCCAGGGAGGGTGACAGCATCCGAGTTACCCAGAGAGTTACTGGAAGAGTGGCCCGGTGTAACTGTGCCCACACCCATGATCACTTTTCTGTGTGATCATTCTTGAAACAATATACTGTCATTCAGCTGACCCCCGATCTTGGTTCTCTCAGCCCAGTATCCCATGAAACCCCTTGTTTTCTTTCCCTTTGCTCAACCGGACACTGCTGACTAAGAACGGTGCCAGACCGTTCTCCTTGCTCCTGCCTCAGGGTGAACAGTGTATGGAATAGAGAACCCCCAGGCCCTGAGCTCCCCTCCGGGAACCGTGGTGTGGAAATGAGGCAGGGGTCGCCCCGGGGCCTCCTCACTATCGGTCGCAGCCCTGTGGCGAGAGCCCTCTCTTCTGAGACGATTAGAGGCTCCACGAAGGGGCCCCTTAGTACAGCTTTTGAAACAACTAAGTGTGGGTTCTTCCAACGGCATCATGCGTATTTGAAAAAGTGCCTCTTCAGGGTTTACCTATTGAGACTTAAAATCTGCAAAATATCTGAGAAAATGATGTGGATGTTTGCAGCACTGAGAATCGCTCTGTTTGATGACAAGGCTGCTTTCAGGGGCGATACATAGACATCTCTCACAATTTCCAGCATCTGCACGTATTTTCTCTCGCTCTGTAAAAGTTCCCCAGCAACTCTCGATCGCTTCTCAGCTGAGTCCATCTGGAGCTTTCTCTCCTGTAGAAAGGCATGAGGAACTCAAAGGTTACCGGGTTACAGCCTCAAAGATCCTGAAAAGTCCAAGGTGGTAGAGAAATGACGGGCTGAAGAATCAGGCAGTGACTCACTCTATGAAATACTATAAACACACTGTTCTTGGTTAAATTTTATCTAAGGAGTTAAAAAAAAAATTGTATCCCATCTGGCAGCTGACTTGGAACCCATGTTACATTTTTATGCGTACAATTTTTTTTTTTAAATATTGGCGTTCTCCAATATTTATAATCATTTCGAATAAAGGTTTCCGTTTGGAACCTTTCGTTGTTGTCTTAAAACAAACGTCAGGTGTTTATGACCAATAGTGAGATGAGAGGCTGTCATACTCACGGCACGACCTGAGCCCCCTTGGCCTTGGTGATTCCTGGGGGTGGATCTGAGGGTGTGCGAGAGCCCATGCCGTGAGGTCCACACCTGCGCCGTGAGCAGCAGGTGGATTTGCTCAGTGTTGGGGGGATGGTGGGGAAGGAGCCCCGGATTGAGCTTTGGGGCCTGAAGGATTCATGTGTCTCTGTCCCCTGGCTGTCGGCCCTTAGGGAAGTCCGTTAAGTGTTGTAACTTGAGTTCCTCATCTACAAAATGGGGTTGTTAACGTCTACCTTAAAGGATTCCGAGAAGGAAAATACCATGATGAATTCTTTGACGAGGGGAGGGGTGAAAAGGGTGTGTGGTGCTTGAGGACAGGACAGGCCCCAGCCTCTGCCTACCTTCAGCCTCCTCCCTGCTCTACCTTTTGCAAACAGAAAGACAGGGCCCTGAAATTTATATGGGTTATACCCAGACTTTGAAGTCAGACCACCTGTCGGTGGGGTAGTTAGAAACTGTGACCCATTGCTTTAAATTCTGTCTTCGTGTCCTATTAGAAGATCCAAGTAGCACCAAGATGGTTCTTGCTCCCAAGATACACACTTGGTCCTCTTGGTTCGACTTCTTTTCAGAACAGGACTTACTCAAAAGAAAAATCTACCCTTGGATTCCCCCCTCAATTATATTTAGGATTGGGTTGTTTTTTTTTTTTTTTTTTTAATTTCCCTAAGGGAAACTTTCAAGAAAAAAAAAGAATTAACCATAATAAAGACCGAAGCCTTTTTTTTTTTTTTGGTCAGGAGCAAAACAAATGGAAAATTCTCACTGTGTAAGGATGGGCTTACCAGTTTAATCAGCATCTCCAAATTTGGATCATTTTTGCTGAGACTTGATTTTGTGTCCTGTGGTTTGTCTTCTAGAACATTTCTTTCCTGAAGATTCAATGCAAAGTTGATTATCTGGGGGCAGGCCTTGAGCTGTCTGAGCGCCCAGTGGGTGCTGTGCCCTTAGGAGTCTCCAGTAGCTGTCTGCACTCAACCACACTGTACCCCGAATACAATGAATGAAGCACTTGACACATGTGATGACTCTCTTATATTAAATCTTATGTTAAGAAAAAGAAAATAACCTTCGGCTTCCTAAGAACTACGTTATACTTGACAAACAAAATTCAGGGCAGCCCCCTTTTCCCCCGGGAGGCAGGGGACTGAGGCTCAAGGAATCCCACCCAATCCCGGCTTCTGCCTCATTCATCCCTTGTCACCTGAGGGCAAATGGCTTATCTTTTGAAATTGCCAGAAGAAAGCTCACAGCACTTTGTAAAATCCACCCCTTTTTTTTATCTAATGAAAACGTGTCAGAAACAGTTCTCATGCTCTCTCTAGACCTGTTTCCACATTTAAATATAGCTTATTCTTTCTTCACTTTCCTTGTTAGATGTTCTTGTGGCTTCCATATAAATTAGCACATTAGGAAAAAAAGTCCTGGGGCGCCTGGGTGGCTACGTGGGATAAGCCACTGACTCTTGGTTTTGGCTCAGGTCATGATCTCAGGGTTGTGAGATGGAGCCCTGTGTCAGGATCTGCACTGGGCAAGGAGCCTACTTAAGATTTTCTCTCTCACATTCCCTTTGCCCCAACTCCTCCACTCTATCTCTCAAACAAAACAAAACACAACAGTCCCACCTGCGGCCTGCAGGGTCCACCCGATCAATGGAACAATGGCCCCGAGGTTGACATTCCTGATTATCACAGCTGCCCTTCCCCGTCAGAGACAAAACTACTCATGGTAACCCCTTGAGATCTACGGGTAAGACTGGAAGAAAAACATCAATTAATAGCCAAGACTTTTTTGTTTTGCCTTACTCTCCTCAGACAAAATGGAATTTTCATTTTGTATCTGCAGCCATGCTTTATGGCTGCCTGAAGCCTTCGTGTAAGAGCCAAGGTCCCCCAGTGCAGCAGGCAGGCTTCTCCCAAGTTTGCATTTTTTTTCCCCCAAGAGAAGGTGGGGGGTAGGGGTAGGGGTTGGGGGGTGCAGGGGGAGCCAGAGAGAGAATCTCCAACAGGCTCCAGCCCAGCGCGGACTCCAAGCTCGATCTCACTACCCTGAGATCAGACCTGCAGTGAAATCAAAGGTCAGATGTTTCACTGACTAAGCCACCAGTCGCCCCTGGATGATTTTTAGATTAAGATGTCATCCCTTACTTTGTTTTCAGGTATGAATACAGAGGAAGTAACAGGAACAGCAAACTTGGTACATTTATAAAGGAACTCTTATTTTTGGGTTGGTGGGCCTTTGCCTAGGCTCTCTCCCTGAGACCTCTGATTACATGGTGGGAATTTTCCTACCTTGTCTGCCTTTTCCAGATACATCCTCAGTTATAAACAGAAGACTGAGGGGTGGGGCGGGGGGCACATAGTTAACTTCTAACTGAGAAATTGTCTGTGATGATTAATTTCCTGTCAACTTGACTGGGCCACGGGGTGCCCAGACATTTGGTCAAATCACTCTGGGTGTGTCTGTGAGGGTGTTTTTGATGAGATTGTCACCGAATTAGGTAGACTGAGTGAGGCAGCTTGCCGCTCCCTAATGTGGGTGGGCCTGATGCAATTAGTTGAATGACCATAGAATAAAAAGCCTGGACCTCCCTCAAGTAAGAGAGAATTCCTCCTGCCTGAGAGCCTTCAAACTGAGATACTGGTTTTCTCCTGCGTTTGGACTTGAATTGGAACATCAACTCTTCCTGGGTCTTGAGCCTGCCAGCTTTTGGACTAGAACTGTACTATTGGCTCTCCTGGGTGTATCTCCAGCTTATAGGCTCACCCTGCAGATTTTATGACTTCTTAGCTTCCATAATTATGTGAGCCAATTTCTTATAACAAATCTGTGTGTGTGTGTATATATACATACATGTATATATGTATGTATACATATATACATGTATATACGTATGCTATTAGCATATATGTGTATATGCATATATGTATGTATATGTGTGTATTATGTATATATGTATGCTATTAGCATATATGTGTATATGCATATATGTATATATGTATATGCATGTATATATGTATGCTATTAGCATATATGTGTATATGCATATATGTATGTATATATGTGTATATGTATATATGTATATGCATGTATATATGTATGCTATTAGCATATATGTGTATACATAGTAAACTATGTATATAGTATTCTATATACTATATAATATTATATGATATACTATACATAGTATAATATATATGGTATAGGATATTATATTCTAGTGTATATATAGCATACATATATACATACATACATACATATAAATATAAATACACACACACACACACACACACACACACACACACACACACTATTTGTTCTGGTTCTCTGGAGAACCCTGACTGGCGCGTGGTCCTTGAGAGTTTCCCGACCCAGCGCAGGGCACATGAAGCAAGCAGGGCTCTGGCTTAAGAAGGCTTGGAGGCCCCTGGAAACGTGTTAGGACTCTTCCTGGAAAGGACGCTTGTGCTTGGGAAATATAAGTCACCTTGGCGGGGAGGACAGTGAAAGCAAGGGTCCTTCCCTGGTAACGGGCGCACACCTGCGGGCCTGCCATGTTGCTGAGCGGGTCTGCAGCTGTGGCCGAGGGGACGCTGCGCCCAGCAGCCCTCCTTGCTTGCCCTTCCCTGCACTGTGCTGTCTTCGAAAGAAGTGTGAGCAGAAGCTTCCGGAATAGCAGGTTCACAGGGCAACAAATTATTTGTCTGCTTGATAGAACTCCCAGGTGTATTGCTACCAATAGTTTCCATGGGGCTGGGGGTGGCATCCCTAGCCTTCGATCATCCTAGAGCTGATTTTTCTATGAGCGTCACGTGGTTCTGAAATGACATTTTCATAGCAACCAGCTCTCTGAATGACAAGGCAATTTTCCGTGTTTTCCGAATCCTGATTATTTCGCGGAACCAAGGGGGATGGCTGGGTTCTGAACGTACTACCGGCAAAATTATTCTTGCTTGCTTGAAGAACTGGTTTTCAAAGCCACTTTTTTTTTTACTTTTAAGTATTGGAATCTCAACTAAGAAAAGAAGAACGTGCCCTTATTTCACCAAAAAAGTGTCCTAAGCTGCAAATGAAAACACTCTTTCGTCTGTGCCAGGGCTCCGCCGAGTGAGCGGATCCATGCCAATGGTGCCTGGGCGCCTCCCGCCACCCCGCCGTGCTACCCCAGTCGGTGAGGCGGCTTCCGCTCGGAGGTGGCTTAATGTCACTCTCGGTGTGAAACTACAAAACACCCTTTTTAAAAATAATAATCCGTGAAAGGGAAGTTCTTGGGAGAAATGACAAGTTGAAGCCTTTCCAAGTAGAATTATCATTATTGTTTACGAATCTATCTTTCTTTCTTTCTTTCCTTTTTTTGTTTACAAATTTCTTTTTTTTTTTTTAAAGATTTTATTTGTTTATTTGACAGAGAGAGATCACAAGTAGACAGAGAGGCAGGCAGAGAGAGAGAGAGGGAAGCAGGCTCCCTATGTATATATGTATGCTATTAGCATATATGTGTATATGCATATATGTATGTATATATGTGTATATGTATATATGTATATGCATGTATATATGTATGCTATTAGCATATATGTGTATATGCATATATGTATGTATATATGTGTATATGTATATATGTATATGCATGTATATATGTATGCTATTAGCATATATGTGTATACATAGTAAACTATGTATATAGTATTCTATATACTATATAATATTATATGATATACTATACATAGTATAATATATATGGTATAGGATATTATATTCTAGTGTATATATAGCATACATATATACATACATACATACATATAAATATAAATACACACACACACACACACACACACACACACACACACACACTATTTGTTCTGGTTCTCTGGAGAACCCTGACTGGCGCGTGGTCCTTGAGAGTTTCCCGACCCAGCGCAGGGCACATGAAGCAAGCAGGGCTCTGGCTTAAGAAGGCTTGGAGGCCCCTGGAAACGTGTTAGGACTCTTCCTGGAAAGGACGCTTGTGCTTGGGAAATATAAGTCACCTTGGCGGGGAGGACAGTGAAAGCAAGGGTCCTTCCCTGGTAACGGGCGCACACCTGCGGGCCTGCCATGTTGCTGAGCGGGTCTGCAGCTGTGGCCGAGGGGACGCTGCGCCCAGCAGCCCTCCTTGCTTGCCCTTCCCTGCACTGTGCTGTCTTCGAAAGAAGTGTGAGCAGAAGCTTCCGGAATAGCAGGTTCACAGGGCAACAAATTATTTGTCTGCTTGATAGAACTCCCAGGTGTATTGCTACCAATAGTTTCCATGGGGCTGGGGGTGGCATCCCTAGCCTTCGATCATCCTAGAGCTGATTTTTCTATGAGCGTCACGTGGTTCTGAAATGACATTTTCATAGCAACCAGCTCTCTGAATGACAAGGCAATTTTCCGTGTTTTCCGAATCCTGATTATTTCGCGGAACCAAGGGGGATGGCTGGGTTCTGAACGTACTACCGGCAAAATTATTCTTGCTTGCTTGAAGAACTGGTTTTCAAAGCCACTTTTTTTTTTACTTTTAAGTATTGGAATCTCAACTAAGAAAAGAAGAACGTGCCCTTATTTCACCAAAAAAGTGTCCTAAGCTGCAAATGAAAACACTCTTTCGTCTGTGCCAGGGCTCCGCCGAGTGAGCGGATCCATGCCAATGGTGCCTGGGCGCCTCCCGCCACCCCGCCGTGCTACCCCAGTCGGTGAGGCGGCTTCCGCTCGGAGGTGGCTTAATGTCACTCTCGGTGTGAAACTACAAAACACCCTTTTTAAAAATAATAATCCGTGAAAGGGAAGTTCTTGGGAGAAATGACAAGTTGAAGCCTTTCCAAGTAGAATTATCATTATTGTTTACGAATCTATCTTTCTTTCTTTCTTTCCTTTTTTTGTTTACAAATTTCTTTTTTTTTTTTTAAAGATTTTATTTGTTTATTTGACAGAGAGAGATCACAAGTAGACAGAGAGGCAGGCAGAGAGAGAGAGAGGGAAGCAGGCTCCCTGCTGAGCAGAGAGCCCGATGCGGGACTCGATCCCAGGACCCTGAGATCATGACCTGAGCTGAAGGCAGCGGCTTAACCCACTGACCCACCCAGGCGCCCTGTTTACAAATTTCTTAACCTCAGGTGTTTAACTGCAGCAAAATAATGGCATAAAATTGCAGCAGTCACTTTACCTTCAGGAGTAAACTGAACGCTGCCTTTGGATCACATTTTGTTGGAATAACATTTTCTTCAAAATCCTCGCTCCCTTTACCACACCTCTTCAGCAGAAAATTGGACAAAAACTCCAGAGGTTTGTCCTAAAAAATTCACCGCCCCCAACACACCAAAAGAAAAAAGAATTTTCGGTTAAAGCATTCACCTGCAAAACAAGTCAATACAGGTACCGCAGAAAAGAGAACACATTTTTAGTAGCGTTTTCTTCTTTCTACCTAAATGATAGTCTAGAAAACAAAGTATTATTCAGTCAAGGTCTGTAAATGGGACTTTGTAGTAATTTCAGTTCTCTTATTGTCATCCAGTTAGGATGCCAAGGTCTTGTGGGAAGCTCTCAGGATGGTCAGAACCAAAGTGGCCCAGAGTGGCCCACATCAGTCTCAAGGCCAGATGAGGAATGGTGACAGAGGGGAGCCTGCTTTCTCAGAGTGGGGGAGAGAAGCATGGAAGGGGCCCTTGCAGCAGGATGACAGTGCAGAACAGTCTAGGACACCCCCCCATTTGGTTCCATCTCAGGCTACAGGTTTGAGCACCCGCAAAATGACGTCATATAAAATTATTTTATTTTATTTTTTTAAAAGATTTTATTTATTTGACAGAGATCACAAGTAGGCAGAGAGGCAGGCAGAGAGAGAGGAGGAAGCAGGTTCCCCACTGAACAGAGAGCGGATGCGGGGCTCGATCCCAGGAACCTAGGATCATGACCCGAGCCGAAGGCAGAGGCTTTAACCCACTGAGCCACTCAGGCGCCCCAAAATTATTTTAAAATAATTCGGTTGGCAGTAAGAACACTGGACCTATACCAAACAATGTTTAGAAATTCTTTGGTCTGGTCTTTCAGGAGATAGTGCAAGATTTTTCAAGATCTCGGGGTCATCCTTATGACAGCCCTGGTCATTTTACTGCCCCGGCGGCCGACGGGTGGCTGGACAGTGAGGAGCTGGGTCTTCAGGGCAGACAGATCATGGCCACCTGCAGCTTCTCAGCCTCCACACTGTGCACAGCTAGCTCCAGAGATGCCTGCTGCTTCCCCAGGCAACCAACTTGAAACCAGAGCAGACCCCTGGTAGATAAAGAAGACGTACAAAGGCGATGGTAAATTCATCCACAAAGTAGAATTAACTACAGTGGAAGAGAAGGATTGCGGATCATTCCGTGGGGAACTGAAGCCCTTATATGGCATCAGGTACACTACTATTGTCCCTGTTCCTAGCCTGTTCTCCACTTCCCCAGAACAGAGCTGCATAGTCTGTGGTCCTAGAACCTCGCTGTTGTCTCAGGGCAGACAGAGGTCTTGGAAACTGTCTCTCCTCACTATTTCCTGATGCGTGGACTGACTTTTCTGGGAGAAGAGCCAAGACTGGTCTCTGAAAAAAATGCTTCTTCATGCTTCCCCAATGCCTGTCCCCAACCAAATTATTGATTTGCTTATTTCTGTTCTTTTGTGTTCTCTTTCCCTTCCTGTCTCAGCTAGCCTTTTTTGCCCTTCATCATTTCCTATCGGTTTCATGCTTACTTGTTTTTCCTATCATACTATTAATGGTTTAAACTGTTGAGTAATGTTTATGTGAATCATAAAGCCACTAACATGTTGTTTAAGGAAGTCACTTCTTTTTTTTTTATTTTTAAAGATTTTATTTATTTATTTGACAGAGAGAGAGATCACAAGTAGATAAAGAGCAGGCAGAGAGAGAGGGGGAAGCAGGCTCCCTGCTGAGCAGAGATATCCCCCCCACAATGTGGGGCTTGATCCCAGGACCCTGAGTTCATGACCTGAGCTGAAGGCAGAGACTTAACCCACTGAGCCACCCAGGCACCCCAAGGAAGTCACTTCTGACTGAAATTAATCATAAGACGGAAAACAGTGCACAATGCAAATATGTTTTAAATAACCTAGAAAAATTTTCCTGTTTAACTATTTTTTAAAAAAAGATTTTAGTTATTTATTTAAAAGAGATAGGGAGAACATGAGCAGGGGGAGGGGGAGATAGAGGGGGAGAAGCAGGCTCCTGGCTGCCCACATGGGGCTCTATCCCAGAACCCTGGGATCATGACCTGAGCTGAAAGCAGATGCATAACCAACTGAGCCACCCAGGTGCCCCTATATTTGTCTGTTTTGTGTACCTAATACATTTTGGGCCCAGAATCTCTCTGGCTGTTTTTACAACCTGATTTAATTTCTCAGAGGAAATTGTGCCTCCCAAGGGATAAACTGGTTAAAAAAAAAAAAATCAGCACAAACTAAAAATGTTCTTAAGTGTTAGGTTTTTAAAGTTTGCTTTCTTCAAAGAAACACTCACAGAATTTTCTTTTGAAAGTTCCATCAATCCATCTGCCAGAGTTTGTGCAATTTCTTGGTTATTCAGAATGTTAGCCACATGCATGTTGTCAGAAGTAAATTGCCCTGCAAATATATAAGGCCATATGCCTTGGAATTAATTTATTAATTAATAAAGATGTGATCAAGAAAACAACTTATTCCTCACAGTTGCTTTTTATTGTATTAAAAAAATGTGAAGCATAAAAATTAAAATTCTACTATGCCGTGGGGATTATCCACCATGATAAAATATGAATTGAGCAAGAGTAACTAAACATAAAGCATATTAACAACTACCCACCCTGGTGAAGCTATATTAAATAGAATCTATAAATTGGACAATAAGGAGAGAACATGTGAACATTATAAACCTTATAAGTTTCAATTTTAGATTCTCCTTCCCACCAAAATTTCCTCCTCACACCCCTGTATCTTTGAGTTCAAGACAAATACTTTGAGTCTACAGCAAATAACATACAACTATAGTTACACAGACATCTTTTTATATTTTTAATACTTTGAACAATGTGCATTGATATGCAAATAATTTTATTCCATCTAACTTCTCATTTCTTACAAATATCATCAAAGAATACTTCTATCTTGAAAAAAGCTAATTTTTTTTTCTGCTTTTCTCTTTGGTCCTTAATTATCTGTGTAAAAAAACAGGAGAAATAATTTCTATATAGCCTTATAAACTTTTTAAAATACTAGCTGAACATCTACTAAGTGTGGTCAAGCAGATAGTACATAAAATCAAGAAGACAGCTCCCTGATTTGGAGGCATTTATGTAAAGTGATGTAGGACATGCACTGACATGAAATATCCACATGCAAACACCCATTGTGTAGACAGTCATTGTGGTGATAAGGACCTCAACAGGAAGCAGGGCAAGGAGGGGAGAAGGAAGTAAGACGTAATTAAATAATGACTTAATTTCAAGGGTATTTTAGTCAGATGGGAAGAGTTAAGGGTAAGCTAAATAGGTGGTTAAAGATGGATGCGGTGGGGGCGCCTGGGTGGCTCAGTGGATTAAAGACTCTGCCTTCGGCTTAGGTCATGATCTCAGGGTCCTGGGATCGAGCCCCACATCGGGCTCTCTGCTCAGCAGGGAGCCTGCTTCCCCCTCTCTATCTCTGCCTGCCTCTTCTGCCTACTTGTGATCTCTGTCTGTCAAGTAAATAAATAAAAATCTTTAAAAAAAGATGGGGGTGGTGGTCATTTAGCCAGATGATAAGTAAACAAAACAAACCAAAAATTTCATCTTAAAGAATAGACTGATTTAGGGGAAGCTCTGGTTGACACAGAAAATGACTTCCAAGACTCTATTATGATAGATTAGCCATGTGTAGGGACTGCAAATGGGATGATAAATTCAGTGATGTCCAATAGGTTCAGCAGAGGTCCGGGGAGCCCCCACCAAACTGAATATTTTATATAGAAAATACATAGAATATAATCGTAGAACAATTTAAGTAGTGGGTGCTGTGTCTAAGAGGAGCTTAACTTTTAGAGCAGGCTGGGGTGGGAAGAAGGGCAGAGCCCTCTGGCTTAGCAAACACTCTGTGAGCTTTGTCTAGTCAACCCACTGACTGGCATAGGATTAGTAAAGCGCCACTATTTAAAAGGAACTAGCTTCAGCATTTTGAAGATGAATATACTTGTTGTCAGTGGATAGTCATTACCTTTGAAAGGAGATATGAAAAACAAAGGAAAGAAAGTTTTACTGAACAGGTATAGAAACCAACATTTGCTCGAGCCCTTCCTGCCCTGGAATTCCCTCTAGTTACGAAGGACCTTCATGATGAAACGGCAAGAGAAGCAGCGAGAGTTCTTACCTATTATCCTGGCACTGATGTTCTTCTGTAACTCCTTGAAAAGAGGACTTAACTGTTTCCTTACTGATTTCAAGGTGTCTTCCAGAAAATCTGTGAGACTGGACCACGTCTGCAGCTTTGATTCCCTGAAGTAGATGGAACAGGGAGCCCTTTCCCACGGTCGTCCCAGCCAATCACCTAGAACTGACATGATTTCTTCCTTTTAGTATTGCAGGTTGGAGCTCCGATGAAAGAATTCCTCTTGTTTACAGTACAACAAAAACTTAGTTGTGTTTACAGCAAGCTTATTCCTCTCTCTCATTAGAAGACTAAGAGAAACACCCATCATCGGCTTTCAAAGGTAAAATTAGAAGCTCCAGAAGGAATAATTTCAAATGCTACCTATCTGTTCTTTGACACAGAAGGTTGATATGTTACATTTGAGATCAAAATTGAATAGCTGTGGGATTTGTATATCAGGAAGCAGAGTGGGCAAGAAGGTGCTGCTTTTTCTTTAGATCCTAAAATGAACATACAAGAAAACCCCGCTCTGCCTGGTTTCTGCACTGTACCGTCTGAAGGCATCCTGGGCTAGCCCAACCTATGGCTTCCTACATCATGTCAGGTTGCTCTCTCTCTCTCTCTCTCTCTAAGTTTCTCTACATGACTGTAATGGGTGGTTAAAGAAATTCTCTCCTTGGAAGAAAAGAAATTCTATCCTTGGAAGTCAATTACTGGATGATGCTGGGACATGTTAAATCTGATTTTGTGTCCTCAATGGATAGAGAGCCTTATTTGATTCTGCTTCCCCCTTTTCACTGATAAACATGAGCAACTCTTTATGACATGCTTTCCTAGAAGAAAACTAAGAAGATGAAAGGGAAAAGGAAGATGAACCGAAGGAAGAGGAGATAGAGGAGGAGAAAAGGAAGAAGAGCTGCCCCATAAAAATCAGTGTTTGCTCCCTGCTCCCCGCTGCAAGGCTGCCGTCCTCTCTGCAGGAGGCCCAGTGTGTTGTCTAGCACTTGGTCCTGTAGCTACAGAGCTGAAATTAACAAGTGAGTTCTGCTACAAAAATCTAGCAGGTCAATGTGCTTTTCTGTAGATACGTGGAATCTTTTCCCTTACAGGTTTCCAGTCATGCCAGTTCTCCCCAGGTTTGAAAGTCCCTTAGAATATGGGATTAGAGACGTCATGCTTTATGTGGTTTCTACGTGGTCCCAAACCCTATGTAATAGGAGGCCAGGGAGTTTTAAAGGGGAAAATGGTTCTTGTTACTTTAGCAGAGCAGTGTGGTTTTTTTGTTGGTTAGCCAATGTTACATTCGCATTTAATATCTGCAGCTTCAGTATCTAAGTGAAACTAATTCCAGGTGTATATTTTATCCTTGTTTTTCCTCTCAGATAATGCAGTTGAACTGGAACCTGAGCAAGCCTTCACTCTCTCTTCAGAGCTGCCGTTCTAATTTCCAAAGGAAACCACATTGATTCCGTCTCACTAAGAATTGCTCTTGGTACTTGTTATTTCTCTAGATCAGCAACTATTCATCTTTAACTATTAAAAATGATGTTTTCAACAGGGTTTGTGTACATGATGGTTTGAAGCAAATATTTGTAATAAATAATCCCTTTCTAAGCACTTGATAGGACAGTGGGCAGTGGGAAATGACACAGTTTGGGTAGTGACAGCATTCCTTTTGAGAGGGGATGGAAGACAGTCACGTGGTCAGCCCCCACATACACTTACTGTGCTGGTAAGAGCCGGTTGCAATTCCAGTAGGGGCAGTAAAGAACGTGCCAGTTAGTTGAGACAGCTGGGAAAGAACTTCCAGTCCTGCCTCTGCAGAGTCAAAAACACTTTCATTGGTTTACTCACAGGTTTTCCCTTGGAACCATTAAGCATTACTTAGGAACGCTAAGCTGGCCAAGCAAGACTGCTAGGATTTCTCATCTTCAATTCAAATCCCTATGGAACAGTCCGTAAGCACTTTATAGCCCACCGCTAAGTGCTGAAGTCCAGACGCTTAATTAACGAGGACTAAACAACAGAGTAGAGAGACCGTGCAGGAAGACTGACCTGGTGCATATTTTCAAAGTCGGAATACTCAGGACAGAGACAGAGAAAAGTCTACGTATATTTTCTAAAATAGTCTGACTCAAAGGAGATGTCTCCTAAGAGGACAAATTTGAAACTGTTGGAACCGCTCAATACGATGGTCAAACTTGAGTGTGGCATTAATTTCACCCCACCTTCAGCGACCCGGCATAAAGATTGGATTCATCATATAGAAGGAATTACTTTGATCGAAATTAATACACTGGGTTATATTTCTTAATTCTTTGTGGTCTAAGAATAAACAATTACTCCAAATTGGTTGGAACAAGATGGCAGTGGCTGAAAGGTTGGGATGTCTCTCATTTATTGGGGTCTAATCTTTTAATTGGAATGGATCAAAGAAATCAAATAGAGTCCCTAGGTATACCTACATCTGTGTAGTCAGTTGGTTTCAACAAAGATGCAAATCAAATGCACTGAGAAAAGGATAGTCTTTACAAGGAATGGTGCTAGAAAAATTAGATATCCATAAGTTAAAAAAAAAACAAACACGAAACTTCAACCCATACTTCTAAAACTCTATGAACAAATAAACAAATAAGTCAACGGTTCAGAAATCTAAAAGTCAAAACTATAAATAGTTTAGAAGAAATTCTTTATTTCTAAAATAAAGAAAATCTTGTGAACTTCAGTCAGATAGTGTCCAGATACAACATTAAAACTATAACCTAAAAAAAAATAAATTTGACTTCACAAAAATTAAGAACTTCATCTCTTCAAAAGGGACCGTTCGGAGAAGAAAAACATAAGTCACAGAGTGAGAGAAAATATTTGTAAATGCCTTTTCTAGAATACATAAAGAGTTCTCAGTAAGAAAACAACCTAATTTTAAAAATGAGCAGAAGATTAGGACAGACAGCCACAAACGAAAACCAATGAGTGGCAGGTAAGTGCATGAAAAGATGTTCAGCATCATCAGTCATGAAGCAAATGCAGATTCAAACCCCAATGAGATACTCCGGCACTCCCACGTGCGCGGCTAACCTTAACAAGACTACATACCTGTGTGGGATACTACACAACTAGAGTTCTCATACATTGCTTGTGGAAATGTAAAATTATACAACTACTCCGGAAAACAGTTCAGCCAGTGTTTAAAAAGTTAACACCTATCATATTGACCCAGCCATTCCAGTCCTAGGTATTTATCCAAGAGAAATAAAAGCATATGTTCACACATAGTTTCATAGCTACTTTCTGTGTTAGGACCCGGGAACTGGAAAGAACTCAAATATCTATCAACAAGTGACTGAATAAACAAATTGTGGTATATACGTACAATGCAATAGTTCCTAGCAATAAAAAAAAAACAAGGAGCCATTGATACTAGCATCAAACAGAGGAATCTAAAATGATTCTTCTGAGTGAAAGAAGCCTGACAAAAAAGAATGCACGGTGTATGGTTCCATTTATAGAAAATTCTATAAAATACAAACTAATGCATTGTGAAAGAGAGGAGATCTTTCACAATGTGGTTAATTCAGGATGGGGATAGGGAGAAGCAGGAGGAAAAAACTGCAGACTGGCATGAGGAAAATTTGGGGAGTGGTGACTATGTTCCTTATCTTGATTATTTTATGGTTTCACATAAAATATTTTCACATGTCAAAATTTATCTAAATGCACACTTTAAATATGTACAATTTATCTTACATTATTTAGACCTTGATAAAGCTGCTTGAAATTTTTTTAATTTTATTTATTTTATTATTTATTTTAGAGAGAGACTGTGAGTGATCAGGGGGGAGGGGCAGAGGGAGAGGGGGAGAGAGAGAATCTGGAGTAGAGCCTCGCTAAGTAGCAGCCGCAGCAGCACCTGGGAACTTGTCAGAAATGAAAATTCTCAGCCCCCATGCCAGACATGGTGAGCGAGAAGTGCTAGGATGAGATCCAGTGCTGTGTACTTTCATAAGCCTTCTAGGTGACTCAGACAGACATTACCACTTGAGAAGCAGGGATATAGTCACTATGGAGGTGTATCTAGGTTGAGTGTATACAGGTGAGGGAAAGTTTATGGTCTCGCTTTCTCTCTTTTTAGCCCAGGAGCTGGCACTACAGGTGTTCCTGGTTTGATAGGAATGACCGAAGAAAGAGGGAGGGCTGACGCTGTCGGAGAGAACTGAGTGTGGGAATGTGGTCGTGAGGAGGTGAAAGGGGGTGGGATACAGAGCGCAAGTGGGTGCTGATTTGAGCAGGGCTGCTTCTTCCATCGGGACAGAAGGGAAGACAGAGAATGAAGGTAAGAGGTGGGGTACGTGGTGGGTTTGGTGGTGGGAGGGAAATTCGGGCGTTTTCTCAGGGCAGTAAAAGGTGAGGTCAACAGCTGAGAGAGAGGTTCTCGAGAGATGGATGAAGGAGGGGAGGGGATGATGTAGTCCTCTCAGAGAGTGGGAAAGAAATTTACCAAGGGAAGGTGGGGGGATTAGTTGTCAGTGCCGCAATCGCATTTGATATTTATGGCAGTGAAGTCAGGTTAGATGAATAAGAAAAGCCACAGCACTGTTTTCAACCCAGCGGCTTCGTGCAGGCAGCGGAGAGCATGCCGACGGTGGTGTTTAAGGAGCACTGGAGTTCAGCCGGAGAAAGGGAGACAAAGAAGTTCAGATTCTTTGCAACAGAGTAATGATAACGACAACCATTGAATGCAGGTTTAACAAAGAAGGAGCAGAGGATGGAGACGTGGGGACAAGAGAGTGGAAACGTGCGAGTGTGTGCATTGGAGGTCTTGAGGCAAAGAGCTGACACAGTAGGAGTATTTGGAACATGGATGTTTGGAATATTTGGTGCATGTTTTGGAGGTGGTACTCAGAGAAAAATGTTGGAGATCAAGCTCTCGGAGGCCTTACAGCTACTGGGATGATAAGCTCCTGAGTGATGCCTGAGGTGGCAGAAAAGAGATTTTTGGACTGAGAAGCTGAGTTCTTTCATCTGAAGCAGGGTCTTGATGGCTTGTCCAGGTGGAAATTGTGTTTGATGAGTTCAGGGGATGATTTGGGGGCCAAAATGGTGGTGAGAAATTTGCTGTTCAGTGCCATCAACTTTCACTTGAGACAATTTTTAAGTCACTAAATCTATTGTTCGTCCCCCCTTTTGCCCTATTCCTGATCCCTTTCAATGCCTTATTTTCCCAAATCCTTTCTTTATCTTCTACTCCAGTTAAAATATTTCCTTTGCAGGGCGCCTGGCTGGCTCAGTTGGTGGAGCGTGGGACTCTTGATCTAGGGTTCTAAGTTTGAGACCCTCGTTGGCTGTAGAGATTACTTAAAAAAATAAAATCTTAAAAAAAAATTGCTTTACTTTCCTTACAAAAGTAATACTAGTTCATTACAGAAAATAGGGACAAATAGGAGATAAAAGGAAAGGAAAAATAATAAAAGGAAAGAAAAGCCCCTTATCCAACTGTTGTTAATACATTTCGTATATATCCTTCCAAACCCTTATCTATATCCTGCCGCCCTCCCCCACGCACGCACAGGTTTTAAGCAAAGGAATTCCACGCTCCATATTCTGATTTCAAAAGTAGGAAACCTGAAAAACACATCTGGAGATAGATGCTGTTAATAATTGTGTTATATTTCCTCCTAGATTTTTCTATGCATATTGTCTTTAGTTAAGATTACATTAATTGTCATAACTGTGTAAAAAAATTTTTTTATGATTTTATAATTTGTTTTCTTTTAAACCCCTTCCCATCCTTTTGTTTTCCCTTTCCCCTGGTTGAAGCCTGCCAGAGGCATACTTGGCATGTACGAACAGTTCAGGGAAATGAGAGGATTAGAGCGAACTTTAAAACTCACAGTTCCCTAAGGAATGGGAATAAGAAACTGTTTGAGAAAATTTAATTTTATACTCCCTCTGCCTTGCTCTGCTTGGCATTAAAAAAAAAAAAGAAAAGCCCATGAATGCAGAGCTTTTATTGAACAGATGTCTAAAAAGCGAATTTGTCTTAATGTTTCTAGAGTTTCTCTTCAAGTACTGAAATCAACTTTGAGTTCTAGGGACTGATATTAGACAGATGGGCACTTAAAATGATATCAGACCTCTGGGATCAGCAACCAGTCTCCTCTTTACCAAGCACTTGGCTGTTTTTAATATTCAAATATTATTTAAGTCTTTATTTTTATTGTATTTTTAAGTGTATTTATTATAAGTATTTACATTATTTTGATACAAGTCTTGAGGGTAAGGTGCTATTATACTAACTTTCATATGAGGAAACAGGCCCATAAACTTGCCTAAGGCCACACAGCTCAAGTGGCATGAGTGGGATTCAAGCCCAAGGTCCTTGGTCACCAAGTTCATGCTCACTCCTTCTAGGTTCAGAACACAGCAGGGAGGCTTTTCTCAGACCAACTGATTATGGGTTCAGACATTTTCCCCTGTGTAGCAGAGGCTGGTTTTATTATATTTTCCAGAAGAGCTACGGATAATATCCCTGGCTGGCTCATGTCACTAGTAACCTTATTCTGCAGGGACAGTTTCCTCAGACCACTAACCCCAGCTCTTTCCCCCTTAAATACCTGAGGGTATGAGGTGTAAGAGAAAAAGAAAAAAAAGAGTAAAATGTGACTGAATCATTTGAACTGAAGGCATTTCAAAAATTCCCAAAATATCACTGGGGTAGGCATGACCACTGCCTTTGAAAACTGACCTGATGCTCCAAGAGGTACAAAGAGGTCCACATGACCCCCTTCTTCTTCAGGGGCCACATAGCTTCCTAGTTTCTCCCAGAAGTCTCTCACTTCAGGTCTCAATAAGTTTCCAATACCAATTTTATAACCTGAGGAAAAACTCAAAATGTCATATTGGTTTGTAACTTTATCATGAGCAGAAACTCTTAGCACTCTGGGAAAATGCAATCCTAATTCAAAAAGCTAGAGTCTGGGGGCGCCTGGGTGGCTCAGTGGGTTAAAGCCTCTGCCTTCAGCTCAGGTCATGATCCCAGAGTCCTGGGATCGAGCCCCGTGTGAGGCTCTCTGCTCAGCAGGGAGCCTGCTTCCTCCTTTCTCTCTGCCTACCTCTCTGCCTACTTGGGATCTCTGTCTGTCAAATAAATAAATAAAATCTTAAAAAAAAAAAGCTAGAGTCTGCTCGTAAGAGCCTGATCTGGAGCTTGCCCATGCTCTCATGCTGCACCATATTAGGGCCACAAAAGGACTCCTGCATGGCCCACACTCTCCTTCATGTTGTGGGATTTACTGGATGCTGTGCACTTAGTTTTAGGACCTTGTCTCTCGGCCTTCACTGAGCAACAGTGTGCATTAGCAGGCTCCCGGCGGTGTCGGGGAAGGTGGCCAGTCACGTCCTGCCATGTTTGCCACCAAGTTGCAAAGTGAAGATGTCAGCCAAAAAAATAAGTCATTCAGAACAGAAGACTCCCAGAAGGTGGTAAACATCACTGAAACTCTTACTTCCTGGGACTTCTGTATGATGATTCAGTGAATCTCTATGTGTCTAGGCCCATTTCTAAAGGTGTCCCGGAGACTCTGAATTCTTAAATCCCAGGAATGAAGTGAAAACAAAGTCAGGCAAGAATCCCAACACTTCACTTCTTTCCATCGAGACATCTAGGTACAGAATGGAAGGACCTCTTCAGATGCCTGGAGTAAGAGATTTCATTTTGTTGTTGGTTTTTTTTTTTAAGACAAAAGCTCCTGGGGAAACACCATGATTATTAAAAGGGAAACTTTAGTTTTCAGTTATTTTGTTATGTTACTCTTGATTTAAAAAAAAAAAAAAACCAGCGTGGGACGCCTGGGTGGCTCGGTCAATTAAGCATTCGACTCTTGAATTCCATTCAGGTCATGATCTCAGAGTGTGAGACTCAGCCCTGCATCCGCTCTGTGATGGGCGTGTAGCCTACTTAAGATTCTCTCTCTCTCCCATTACTATCTCTCTTTCTCTCTCCCCCAACCCCCCTTAATAAATAAATAAATAAAGAAAACAAAAGGCAAAGTTTGGAAATCTTTCTCATGTGCAGAACAAAAAGTCTGAGATGTTAGAAAACCCTAACGGGTCCTTCTACTCCATGAGAGGTAAACCTACTACACTACAGTATAAATTTGTAATCAATACCTCTCCTCTCCGTCATTTAGAGAAAAGCTACCATGTAATTAATCATAAATATAAACCCCACACAACAACTAGTGCTGTGCTTTACTTTTGGGCGAATATATAAAATTTGATGTGGAATACAACTTGTTTCAGGCATAGGTAAACTAAACAAGAAAAGACAAAATAAGGTAACAATAAATCAAAAGTAGTTTATTTTGTTAATAAAATTTACTAAAACTATTCCAAGCATGCTGAATTCTAGCGGTAAGCAAGTCTTCTTGTTCAGCTATAGGCCCCAAGAGTTAAAACCAGAAATAGACAAGACTGCTTAACTCATGCTTCAATGAAAACCCATTATGCATATTTCTTTTTGCACTTTCTCGAGGAATTGATGAGATGTTTTGCAATGACTGGAGCATTCCAATCAGAAGGGAAAGCCCTGATAGCAACGGAATGCCTAGAAGACCACATACCCCCAGGTCCCTTTCCCTGCCTGTGACCGTGGGCTGAATATATCCCTACCCCCACTCAGGATCACGTGCTGCCTGCCTGCTCCCTGGCACGTACCCCGCTGAACTTGTCTCCATAAAACTCCAGTGTCTATCTTGCAGGTGGAGAGGTCAATTGTTAAGGGTTGAGCCTGCCACCTCCCCTGGCTACTGGCACCCAAAATAAGTTTTTTTCCAAACCCTTGTCTCTTGCACTCAAGAGACAACGCACTTCACTTGCCAGGAAATTTATCCGAGTTTGTTAGGCAACAGTGTTGACAAACCCAGCCAGGAGCTAAGCTTTCCAATCGTACAGCCCTCTTGGGATTCCCCCAGATGGAGTAGTTGGCCCCGGCAGAGCACTAGGCTTTCCTGCTCGTTTCCTGAGTTAGCAGCTGGGACAGATCACTGGATAAAGTAGCCACAGAGACAGTATTTGATGGGTGATTCAGGTACCCACTGTGCCATTTTAGGGGGTCCCCACCAGCTGGATCCTTGACCATCTTATTCCCTTTCTCCCCTCCTCTCACAAAGATGGAAGATTTCATGCTAGTAAACCTTAAAACCATTCTATCTTAGGTATAACAAGGAAAGATGTAAGTTATAGTATAAAGAAGAGTAGAAGCTGAAAATTTAATTCTAAAACAGTCATCATCTCCTTCCCTATGAGAAGGATAACCATTGGCATTTTTAAAAGATGATCCTTAAAGAGTTAATGGTATCAGCCAATCCTTTTCTTTGTGGAATAAGCCATTTGGAAGTATAATAAATGCTGTTCGGGTACACCAACTTATAGATCATGGGTTTTGCTGCTATTAAAATTGCTACACTTTCATCAAACTTGAAACTTTTGTGCATCAAAGAACACAATAAATAGAGTAAAAGGCAGCATACAGAACCGGACAAAATATTTGCAAACATCTTATAGGATTAATATCTAAACTGTATAAAGTATGTCTAAACTCAATGGAGAATATCAAATAAACCCATCAGAAAATGGGCAAAGGACTTCAATAGATGTAGATAAAGAAGATATACAAATAGCCAATATGCATACGAAAAAAATGTTCAACATCACTAATCAGTAGACAAATGCAAATCAAAGCCATAATGAATATCACCTTAAACCCATCAAGATAGTTACTGTCAACTAAAAACAAACAAAAACACAGAATATAACAAATGTTGGTGAGGATGTGAAGAAATTGGAGCCCTTGTGCACTGTTGGTGGGAGTGGAAAATGGTATAGCCACATGGAAAATAGTATGGAGGTTCCTCAAAAAATTAAAAATAAAATTACCATGTAATTCTGCAATCCTATGTATGGATATATATCCAAAGCAATTTACAGTAGAATCTCAAAGAACTGTCTGCACACTCAGTGTTCATAATAGTGCTATTCCCGATAGCCAAGAGGTGGAAGCAAGCTAAATGGCCATCAGCAAATGAAAGGATAAACAAAATGTGGTCTATACAGACAATGGAATATTATTCATCCTTAAAAAGTGAAGGAAATCCTATCTTAAGCTACAACGTGGATGAAACTTGATGACATTATGTTAAGTAAAATAAGCCAGTCACAAAGTGAAATACTGTATGTTTCACTTATGTAAGGTACGTAAAGTTGTCAAATTCATAGGAACAGAAAGTAGAATGGTAGTTCTTAGGGGTGGGAATAAGCGGGAAAAAGGAAGTTCTTATTTAATGGTGTGATGCTTAATTTTACATGTCAACTTGACTGGGCCATGGGGGTGCTCAGATATTTGGACAAACAGAATTTTGAATGTGTCTGTGAGTGTGTTTGGGAATAAGGTTAATGTTTGACTAGACAGACTGAGTAAAGCAGATTACTCTTCCCAGTATGGGTGGGTCTCACCCAATCCATTGAAGGCCTGAATAGAAGAAAAGGGCCGACCCTCCCTTGAATAAGAGGGAACTCCTCCAGTATGACTGCTTTGAGCTGGGATATCAACTCTGTTAGCAAATTGAAACTTAAATACTGTTCTGAAGGTCATACATGTAGACAAAAACCACATTCGTGCAAAGTTGGTTGTTGCTTTCAATCTCCAGGCTTACCTTGGAGTAAATTGATTTCTCTGCTGTCTCCATCACTAAATATCCCCATACTCTGTACCTTCTGCCCATCCAGAGCTTTTTCTATGAGATAAAGCAGGCTCTCCAAGGTTAAGCCGCTATATTCGTACACCACAAAAATGATACCTGCCTTAATGCTCTCCACCACCATCTAGAAAATGAAACCAAAGCCCATTATTTTAGAATATTTATTCACAAAATAAATAAAATGGGCATGTAATCTGCTGTGATTTTTAAACACTTTTTTTCCAGAAATTATAGAAAGAGGAAGATAAGCTTTATCATTTGTTGGTTTGTTTTTCAATGATTTTATTTCTTTTTTAATTATGAGAAGAAAATTAAGTACACTTGTAACTCCAGCACTCAGAGATAAATATTATAACAAGTTAAATTATTTTCTTCCAGCCTTTTTATCATTGTACATACCCATGAAGAGACATAGATGCATCTCTTAAAAAAATAATCAAATTGAGATAATATGATTTTGCAATGGACTTTTAAAATAGATTTAAAGTTTTCCTCTTAATCATGAATTTCTGAATTATCAATATTGATTGATTAAATATTTTCCATTTAAATAAATACGAAAACCACTATGCTTTGAACTCAGCAACCAAATAAACTTTTCATTATGGTAACGTTAATTCACTAGCAGGAGACAGTTTGGAAAGTCATTAAGTCAATGATTTTTTTTTTCTCCCAAACCTCATGCAACTTCCTGAAGGTCTCAGTTCAAATTGAGCAGAGGACTACCACCTGGTTATGTCCTGTTTTTTGCCTAAGCACCCAACACATTCATAATAAAAAAAAGTAATCATGGCATAGACTTATGTAAAGAAGACAAATAGGAAAATGAACTTACTTTGAACTAGATTTTTCACCCATACTCTGTCACTGGTTATCCTTTGTGCCCAGCCTGATGCCCATTATTAAACATTAGGAAACTATTTGGGGCCCACATGGAGGTCAAAACTCTGATCTTGCTTTCATATGGATCCCCGGAGCTGGCTGGTTATAAATGATCTGAGTCAATTTCTAGATGCCCAGAAAGAATACTGATTTCGTATCTTGAAAGCAACCATTTTGTTACAAGGAGGAAATTTTTTAAAAACTTTCTAAGTAGGCCAATGAATGGAACCTACGGAATGTCATCCCTTACATATGTCCCTCTTTGCGCGTCATATATACACACATATATGTGCATGTCATAGACACACATGTGTGTCGTATATCCATTGTGTCATATATGCATATACACATACTCACGTATCTATAAAAATACATGCTTCTATGTCTTTATTGTGCTTCCTTCATTTTTATTACTTATATTCAAATTAAAATATATAACTTTATTATAAAAAGAACATAATTTAATGTCACCTCCCTGAATAGACCACAAAATAGGATTTCTGACATTTTTCTTGTGAGAAATGATGGTTATATGATAGTATTTAGTTCCTTGGGCATTGCAAAGAGGTTTTAAAATAATTCTTAATCACCTTGCTCTTTTTTGGGATAAGTGCGACAAATTCAGTTCAATAAGAATTCACCAGATACTTAACTAAATGCAAGGTAGTTTTGGCCTCTAATGCTTTTTTTAAAGTAATTTTGATTTATGGTTATCTTTATTGCTTCTGATTTTTTAAAAGTGCTCTGGGTCTGTAAATTTCCACTTAGACCATGTTCCTTTTAGAAGAGGAATCATTTTCATACATATGGAGGCCAAAAGATTGTTACACATCCTCTCATCTAGATGAAAAACAAAACAAAACAAAACACCCAATTCAGAAAAGGGCAGGCCTCCTAACATACTCTTACCTCAAATGCAGGAATCCGAGATGATATTAGTAAGAAGTAGGGCTGTGACGCATATGAAGAGCTGTCATCATTTTTCTGAACTCCACGCCAAGTCTTCTTCAATAATGAAGGGTAGGAATGGCTTCCAGAAACATTGCTTCTGTAGGGAAAAGAAGGGAATAAGTGAAGTGTAAATTTCCTATTAACTGGATTTTGATAACTGAGCACCAAAGTGTTGTCTGGGCATCAGTTATACTGAACAAGGCACGTGGCCTTTCGGAACTCAGTCGCTCTCTGCAGTTTTGGGGGACAACAGCAAATGGGGCTCCGGGGTGGGGTAGGGCCAGAGCTGGCTTCTGGGCCTCTTTTCCTCCATTCATGGGATACTGGAAAGGTCTCCTGGAACTAATTTAGCTTTGTTGGGCACTTAAAATGAATGTAGTGACATACTGAGGGGTTCAAAATGACATTTTAAAAGAACAGCTGAGAGATTTAAAAATTTTCTAGATCATCTGGTTCTCCCAGCTTTCTAAATAATGTCTCCATTCTCTTACCCTTACTCCCACATTCCCATTTGGATACACTTACTCCAGGAAAATCAATTCTGAAAACAAAAATGTTACTTTTGTTCAATAAATTGCCCAGAAAATGTACTACATCATAGCCTCTTTGCAGGGCCAAGAATATTTGAAATATAAAATTTGAATGTTACAGATTTCCCTCAGAAAACATGTCAAAGACCACTGCTTTTAAAGATTAAAGAGTTATTTCCATTGCTGTCTCATAGGATATGAGCCAGATAATTATACAAGCTCCCTGCGAGTTAGCTAAATTATTCTAGAATGAATTCTTGGTATCATGGGATGGTCTTGAGCCTTCAGGAGATGGAGGTTGCTTACCGCTTGGGCAAAGCTTGTAAGGATGCCAAAATTAGCTGTTTCTCCAAAGCTTCATGTAATCCCACTCGATCCCTCAGAGCCTGGGAGAGCCGTGGCTGGCATTTGGATTTTAACAATCTAGAGCAGTGTGTTCCGCTCACCCAAGGGGGTCGAACTTTGAATAACTCCTCTGAAAAACAAACAGCAGTGGCCTCTGTAGTTTACTTCATGCTTCTCTCGGCCAAGTCTACATAGATAAAGGCATCAAAAATAAAGCTGTACCAGGGCACTATTCCAAATGGCAATAATTATAGCCCTTTTTACAGACTCTATTTGGATTTCTTATCCTCTCGGCTCCAAGCTGTGGCTCCAAGTTACCAGTCCTGTCAGGTCAAGAAACAAAGCTCAGAGAACGAACACCTCTTTTCTTGTGGAAAGCAGTTAATCGATTTACAGGTTTCACATCCATTTCTGCCCTTCGTCTTGGCTTCAAGTAATCTCCCGTTTGTTATGATCTCACAGAGGGTGAGTCAGTGAAAAGAAGATGGCAGGACTCCAGTCACTTTGTTGTTCTGTTGTGCACTGTGCAAATCAGAAGGCTTGGCTGAGAGAGGCTCTTACTCTTCTTCCCTTCCTACTTTTCTTCTTTTAATGCTGTTCTTCCTGCTTCCATTCCCAGTTTCACTTCTCCCCTCTGTTGCTAATCTCAATTCTTCTCTCCTGCACCTATTTCCTTGTTTTTGCCTACGTTCCTTGTTCCCTCTCCTTGTTGTTGTTGTTTTCATCTCATAAACCTGATTGTAACCAGAGGAATATGGAGGCACCGATATTGGACTTTCTGTATTTCATCTAAAATCTTTTTTCTTACTCATGAACTTGAAATATACGGGGAGGGGGTGGGGAGAGGAAGAGCTTGCTTTAGAGAACACCACCTACACACTCTTCCAGAAAGACCTAGCTATCCTCCAGTGTGGGAATCTGTATGTAAATCCATTTGTTTCTACAATAGTTGGGTAAGATATCATTTTAAAATGCTACTTACTCTTATGTAGTGCAATTTTCTCCCAAATTATTTTTCTTAAGCACTTTTCTCTTTGTCTCTCCAGCAGCTCCTCATCTTCTGTTTTGGGCTCGTTCAGGGTCCCATAGACAGCAGAGGCTTCCCTAGGTGTTAGCCAATCTAAGCTCGACACACACGCAATATAATGATGCTTCCAAGCACCGTACTCGTTATCCGTTGGCGTATAGGGCAGAAACCACCCAAACCTAATGCATTTGGGCATCCATAAGCAGTCCTACAAAAAAAGAAAGGAGAAATATAAATTGCAAGAAATTTTTAAGGACCGTTTCCTCGTAATAATGTTTCCGGCTATGCAGATAATTTTTCTTTACATTGGCATTTCTGGTGCAGCTGACTTGTCATCTAAATTGGACACAAACAAAAAAGAAGCATACCTTACTCCATACAAGAATAGTCTTTGATCACAATATATGTTATATATGAATAAACGTATTAGTCATCTTTTGCACCTGGTCCCACAGCATTTGGTTAACCCTAATAGTAAAAAATAGTAGTAAAAAATCAGTTTGTTTCAGACCAGACCTCCCCCTGGGAACACCTTCGGTTGAACCATATGATATCGCCAATACACAGCCAGCTTTGATAAGTGGAAATAGCAAATTTCATGTGGTTTAATTGAATTAAGCATCTAGACAAAATACCATAAAACAATTATTTGAAGGCCTGTAGAGCTACCAGTGCAATAAGGGCTCCTGCGAACATGACCCCAGAGAGAAGGGAAACCAAAGAGGTAAGCCTGATCCCTGGCATTTGACATTTCAAGGCATTTGACAGTTCCAAAGTAAAGCTCAGGCTGAGAAGAAGAGCAGAAAATTATGGCTGAAGGACATGGAACCTAAAAAGTATTCTCACAAGGAAGAAAGGAAACAAATTTAAATTCAGGGTCCACTAAGGGGAAAAGCCCTAGTAATCACACCAGGCTTTCAGTTGAGATGGTTATCAGCAAGGGTAAGGAATTACACAACCTCTCACAAAGACTGAAACTAGTTTTAAAATATCTCCTTTTCTGACTGGATTTAAGTGATCTATTCCTAGCCTAACCAAATGCCAGAAGCAAAACCAAATTCTCTCAGGAGGAAGAGAACATCAAGCCGAGGCTCAAATTATTGTATCGATATTTCATATCTAATATCTAGTATCCAATACCAGCCACACAAAAGGATAACAATTGTTTGTTTCTCCTTTTGTCATTTATTATTTTTTATTAAATAGAGAGAGATCCTCAGGAGAACCATACGTTGTAATTGTTAGGCAGGAACTTAAAAAATAAACAGTCCTATAATTAATATGTCTAAGAAGTTAAATGGCTAGGTGAGAATTGTGGCAAAATAATCAAATCAACATTGTAGAACTGAAAAATATAATAACTGAAATTTAAAACTCAATGGACCAGTTTAAAAGCAAATTTAGCTGGATTTAGAATCCAGCTAAAGAGATAATTAGTAAACAAAAAGCTAGAAGTAAAACCCAGGTAGAAACACTGAAGGCCAAAAAGATGGAAAAGACACAAAAAACAACGTGAAACTTGTGGGAGATGGTAAATCAGTCTAACATGTAAGTATTGGAATCCCACAAGAAAAAGAGCAAAAATAGGGCAGAAACAATATATATATGTGGAGATGCTACGTGAGAACTTATCAAAACTGATGGACATTAAATCTCAGATTCAAAAATCACCGAAAAACATAAAGTGGAAGAAACACACACACACACACACACACACACTTCTGGGTACATCATAATAAAATTGTGGAAAACAAAAGATAAGACAGAGAAAAAAAAACAAAACCTAAAAGCAGCTAGAGAAAATAAAAATACTGCCATTAAAGGAATAACAATAAGACTCCCTACTTCTCAAAAAAAAAAAAAAAAAAAAAAAAGAAGGTTTATGGAAGACAGAAAACAATAGAAAAATTTCAAAGTTCTACAAAATTAACTGCCAACCTAGCATTGAAATTCCTGTGAAAATATCCTTCAAATACGAACGTAAAACAAGATATTTTCAGACAAAAATAAGAGAATTTGTCTGCAGCAAGTTGCACTAGAAGGAATATTCAAGAAAATTCAAACAGAAAATGATCCCAGATGGAAACTCAGAGATGCAGGAAGATATATGACAACAGAAAAAGTAAATATGTGGTTACTTATAAGTAAATATTGACTATATCAAATAATAGTCGTGATGTGTGTGTATAAATAAATAAATATACATATATATAAATTTAAATGTGTGTATTTTATGTGTGTATAAATTTAAAATATTTGACAACAGTATTGAAACTGGGTGGGAAGGGGACTGAAGGGGAATAGAGAGAGTTAAAGGGTCCTAAGCTCTTTGCATTATCTCAGAAGTGGTTAAAAAAAAAGGCCCTAGGATGAGTGCTGTAATCCTAATATAGCCATGAGAGAACTGCTAAATAATTTATAATTAACAACTTAAAAAACATTTATGTACTCTAAAAGACAATTTTAAAAAAGCCAATAAAATAACTGGAACGAACAAAAAAAATAACAGTAAAACGGCGGACTGAAGCTTAAATAGATCCGTATGTACACACACGTAAATAAAAAATTACCCTAGCTAAAAGCCAAAGATTGCCAAATGTTAGATAACAAGCACCAACAACTATATTCTGTTTACAAGACCTATTCCTTAAAGATAAGGACATAGGTTGAAAGGAAAAATCGGTGCAAACACTTCGCCCAGGTTCTTAAATGCTGTAAATCTAGGGCTCACGGTTGGTTTGCGCATGGCCTCTCCATAGGGAGCTAAGTATTGTCTGAGCTCAGAAGCTCAACGCAAGCCCACCCTGGGAAGTCTGCTCACGTTGAAGAGGTAAATTATTGATGTGTCCTCAAAGTATGTCTGCCATGACATTATATTAAATCTTTAAAAAGAAAAAGAGACAAATAGGGCAGAGGCAGAATTAATGGCAGAGGATGTTGAAAATCTCTTCAACAGATGTTAGCCAAAGAGCGATCAAAGGACACTGCGGTGCAATAACAATTTTCAGGGTGAGTTATCACAGGCAAAATAATATCATATAATAACCACAGCTTACCTAGTATCTCATGAAAAAAGTGGACATCTTTAGTCAAGATAAAACATTTTCTAGATAATTAAATTGAGTAATATGAGATTATTAAAATTACAAGAATTATTAGAATAGTGTATATCCCCTTACTTACAAAATAAATTCTTGTATTTAACTTATCCCCATTTTTTTTCTCTGAAGGGTAAGTTAATTATGGTTCAAATACCCTCCGTTATTATCTTCAGGGAAGGAAGGTACCTCAACTGCCGGATGACAGAATACAGTGGTATTTGGGCCCTATTACAGAGAAGTGACAAGTAGTAAACCTGTTCAGTTAAAAACTTCCAGGGCCAGCTGACTTGTGCAGCTGCACACAGATCTTTCGGATTCAGAAAGGAAAAGATATAGAGAGAAATGAAGCGCGGTAACACTGTAGAGAAATCCACTTTGGTCACTTGCGTCCTTTCTGAAAACCAGTCTTGGACAAACCTAAAAAGAAAGATACAGAAATGTAGTTCAGAACACTAGTGTCTACAACCGATCAAAAATCCAGTATAAATATTGGTCTTTGTTCTTTCTAGAATCCTCTAACTATATATATAAAAAAATGAAATCCTAAATAACATAGGGCTAGATTTTTTAAAATACTATATCGACTTTCACTGATCCATTCTAAAGAGGAAATGAATAATAAAAATATCTAAAATCCACAGAGAAAAAATCTGAAATACATTTAAGCTGTAAATGTGGATTTTCTTTTTTTTCTTTTAACTCCAAATTCAATAAATCAGCAAGTCCTGTCAGCACTACAAATACCTATCCCCAAACCCAGCCACCTCTCTCCATACCCATTGCTGTCAGTCTAGTGCAAAACACATCCCCCTCCATCCTGCACAACTGTAACAGTCCCTCCTGATGGTCTCCCTGCTTTTCTTCTTCCCAGGGTCCATTCTCTACACAGTAGCCCAAGTGGTATTTTTAAAAATGTAAATTAGATAGCATCACTCATGCAAGTAAAACCCTGTGAATTCCTGGTGCAATTAGAATAAAAACCTATAGTGACCACATCACACTTAGTGGTGAAATATTAATTCCTTCCCCCTAACATCAGGAACAAAGCAAGAATGTTCATTCTCACCACTTCAATTTAACAGGTACAAGAGGTCTTAGCCATTTCAACAAAGCAGGAAAAAAAGTAAAAAATATACATATTGGAAAGGAAGCGGTAAAACTATCTCAATTCATCTATGCGGAATCTACAAAACAAGTATTAAGAACAACTCAGGAATCTACAAAACAACCATATAAATTGTTGAACTTATTAGTATAAAATTGTGAAGGTTTTCCTTTATCTTTATCATCTTTATGGTATCTAGAACAATATTTCCTTTTTCATTCCTGATATTGGCAATTTGTGTTTTCTCTTTTAGCTTGCTTATTCTTGCTAAGAGTTTATCAATTCTACTACTATTTAAAAGAAAAAAAACAGCTTTTGTTTTCATAGATGTTCTCTATTCATTTTCTATTTAACTGGTTTCCACTCATTATTTTTTTCCTTCTACTTAGTTTGGATGTGATTTGCTATTTTTTTCTAGTTATTTTTTTTTTAATCTAGTTATTTAAGGTGGAAATTTAGAAAGCCCCTTTTTCCTTTTCTAATATAAGAAATTAAATAATATACTTTCCTCTAAGCTGTGCTTTAGCTACATCCTACCCATTTAGATGTGTTGTATTTTCATTTTCAATCAAATTGAAATATTCAAATTTCCCTCATGATTTCTTCTTCAGCCACAGGTTACTTATAAATGAGTTAATTTCCAAATATTTGGGATTTTCTTGATATTTTATATATTTTTTTGATATTTTATATTTTTTAACCTCAAATTTTATCAAATTATTGTTTAAAAATATACTTATTAGATTTTAATAGTTTTGAAATGTACTGAGTCTTATTTTTTGAACTAGGAAATTCTGTATCTTAGTGAAAGTTATTTTGATCATAAAAAACATATGTTTGGAAGTTGTTGGGTTTAGTTTTCTATAAATATTAGGTCAAGGTGGCTGAAAAGATTGCTCAATTCTATATTCTCCCTGATTATTTTTTGTTTAATTGTTCTATTATAATTCAGTCAGTTTTGTTTCATGTAATTTGAAACTCTATTATTTGGTCCATACATATTTATAATTGTTATGACTTCTTGGTGAATTGATCCTTTTCTTTTTATAAAATGTCCTTCTCTATCTTTCTGTGAATATTCCTTGTCTTGAAGTCCATTTTGTCTGATATTAATATTACCATCCTACTTTTATATGCTCAGTATTTGTTGGCATATCTTCTCCTATCCTTTTACTTTCAACCAGTGGATGTCTCTATATTTACAGTGTATCCTTTGTGGTCACTATACAGTTGGATCTTGCTTTTTGTTTTTTTATTTTATTTATTTATTTTTTTAAAGCTCATTTGGCCATCACTGTCTTTTGTTTGAGGGTTTAGTCCACTTATATTGAATATAATTATTGATACGGTTGAATCCAGGTCTTGATTCTGTTCTTTGTTTTTATTTTCCCATTTGTTTTATGAAAATTTATTCCTCCTTTCCTGCCTTGGTTTGAGATAATGAATTTTTGTACTCCATTTCAATTCGTTTGTTGGCTTTTAAGCATTCATCTTGCATTATGCAAGTAAGTTGTTGCTAGGAAGTGCAGTATGCATCCTTAGCATTTCATAGTCTATTTCAAATGAATATTCATATAAACTTAAAGAACAGTGCAATGGTATAATTCTTGCTATCCTTTATGCTTTTGTTACAATACTGCACCTACTTACGTTATAAGCCCTATAATACACTGGTTTTGCTTTACACAGTCATATATCTTTAAAATAACTTGAAAATTTTATGTTTTTCCACACATTACCATTTCCTTGTAAATCAAGTTTTCATCTGGTATCAATTTCCTTAGCCTGAAGAATTTCTTTTGGCATTTCTTCACTGCACATCTTCAGACAATAAATTTTATCAGTTTCCTTTTATCTGAAAATATCTTTATTTCACCTTAATATTTGTAGTACAATTATGAGATGCGTTAATCAATTTTAATAATTGTCATCTTGCAACCAGTCTGGTTTCTGCTGTATCATCTTCTCCTCTTCTTCTCCCTCCTCCTCCTTCACTCCTATTTTATTTTAAAGCAAATCTAAGACATCGTATCACTGTATTTATTCCACCCACTTAGATGTGGTGTATTTTCATTATCATTCAATGTGAAGTATTCTAATTTCCCTTGTGATTTCTTCTTTGATATTTCAGTGTGCCTCAGTAAACAGCAAGAGCGTTTTTTAAAAAAAACATATGCTATAACCATCAACATGCTTAAACAAATTCAACAATAATTTCCTAATGTGATATCTACTTTAACTTTTTTTAAAGATTGATTGATTGATTGATTTCAAGAGAGGGAGGGAGAGAGCATGTGCACATAGGGAGAGGAGAAGAGGGAGAGGGGAAGCATGCTTCCTGCTGAGCACAGAGCCTGACCTGGAGCCCCATCTCACCAACCTAAGATCATGACCTAAGCTGAAACCAAGAGCTGGTTGCTCAGCTGCTCAACTGACTGAGCCACTGCAGCCCTGCTGTGATATCTATTTTAAAAACTTCTTAAAAATATGGCATCCATTGGGAAAACTTCTTTTATTTTTTTAAGACTTTATTTATTTATTTGATAGACAGAGATCACAAGTAGGCAGAGAGGCAGGCAGAGAGAGAGGTAGAAGCAGGCTTCCCACCGAGCAATGAGCCCAATGCGGGGCTTGATCCCAGGACCCTGGGATCAGGACCTGAGCCAAGGCAGAGGCTTTAACCCACTGAGCCACCAGGTGCCCCGAGAAGACTTCTTTTTTAAAAAGATCTTATTTTATTTTATTTCAATCTATTTTATTATTATTAATATTATTAAATATTATCATATATTACTATATAATGTTAATATTTTATTATTATTTAATTTAATTTAATTTAATTTTAAGGATTTTATTTACTTATTTGAGAGAGAGAGAGCGTGAGCTGGGAGGAAGGGTAGAGGGAGAAACAGGTTCCCCACTGAGCAAGGAGCCTGAGGCAGGACTCGATCCCAGCACCTTGGGATCACGACCTGAGCCGAAAACAGACACTTAACTGACTGAGCCACCCAGGAGCCCCCATTAAGAAAATTTCTTATATTAGTCCGTGCATGCCACCTAACCACAAATGGATCTTGAATGTACAGAAAATCCAAGGCTCCAGCAAAATGATCATCTTCAAGGCTATATAAGCCTTAGACCAAAGAGACATTTTATGGCCCACAAAGGAGGCTCTGCTGACCCTGTAGTCACCAACTACAAAAAAAGAGATAATACCTGATTGCCCTCTTTAGATACTGGCAATAAACATCGGTTATAGTCCCAAACCACCAAATAAGTCATCATATTTGAATAAGAATCACTGGAACAAAAAAGTTTGGAAGTAATCCCGTGTTGGTAAATCAGACTCTTCCCTGGAACCACTAATCTCCTCCAAACTCAGTAACATTGTAGATGATTGTGGTCAATCTCACGGATGATTGGAAACGTTGGCAATAAGGATTTAGCAGAACTCCTTTATCTCAAGCCATTGGTACTCCAGAATTATTTCTCATGGTTCTGTGGCCACTGCTGCCCTGGTACCAGGTCCTAATGGACACAGATAAACTCATTGAAAGAAAAGTCCTATCTCTGAATAGCTCTCATTCTGCAGTGTGTCTTCTCTGACTTTCTCTGACCTCTAAATGCATAAACTAAATTCCCACAGGGTGGGTCAAGCCCAGAAAGTTCCAAAGTGAAATGAAAATGATACCTCCAATTAGGAACAAAAATGAGCTTAGTTACCTTCATAAACAAGTTGCTGAACACCCAGGAGACCCAGAGACCGTCCTTACCACTAATTTACCCAAACTGCTGGCCTAACTGGGGCCTCATCCATAAATCTTGGGAGAAGGAAAAATTCGAGCTTGCAACAGAACACCAATTAATAATACATGTAGAAGCAATTAAGAAGTTAGAAAATGAGCACTTGGCCACTATCACAGTAAATAATTACATCAGAAGAGAGTCATCAATGGAGACTAAAATTGGTGGGTGAAAATACGATGAGGAACAGGGTATTTGCATAGATTCTAATACTTTTAAATTAATTTAAAATTAATCACTCAAAGACTTTTTAGTTACTTATTAATTATTAACACAGTACTTAATAATGAATCATCTTAACCAAGTGATAAGTCAACATCACAAGCCATGGGACAGATCGACATCATATGCCCCTAGTGTGATCTGCTGAGTGTCCCTTCTGTGTAATTCCTGCCAAGAAGGCAAAACCTGAATGTAATCTTAAGGACGTATCAGCCAGCCACAAACTAAAGTTCATTCAACCAAGTAGGTCTGTACTCTTCAAAAGTGTTAAGTAATAAAAGACAAG